ATTCTGATCTTCCTGAGGTAGTACTGACTACATAAAGAACCTCTTGGATATCCATCCCTCTAGCTTTCTTACCAACCTCCACACATGTTGAACACCCTACCCTACACCAAGCAGCCTGTGAAGCTGATGGATTCAGCAACAGTCCATCACTTCGCACACACGAAGTTGACTGCAAAGGAAGGGGTTCGGAGCTAGAGCAGAAGAGGTGATCCGCCTGAAAATCTGGAGAAGTTTGCAAGCCAGCCACTGAAGCGATGCAGCCCCCTCAATCGTCCTCGATGGCATAAGATTGAACAAATAATTTTGATAGCCGAACACGTAGAAGCAATGCTGAGGGGTTTACCGTTTTGTGGGGCCACTACAATAGCCAGCTCAAGGCTTGTTGCCTTGCATTGCCAACATGCTGTGTGTTCATTTTTGTTGATATCTGTTGATAGTCTAAGTCTAAGTCGATATGATCTTTCTACCAACCGATGGTATGTGCTCCAGCATTGGAAGCTCAGGATGTGTTGGACGCTATTGCATTCTTCGTGTTGTGCTTTGCCACTCGGCAAGACGCCATCGACCAAATGACTTGTCGCCATGTCGCCATTTGGCAAGACACCCAGAAAGTTCGCCAAATGTATCTACACGTACGTGAAAGTTCCTGGTACCTTGTTTGGTGTCAAGTTAGCTTGATCTGTCATGTGTCTGCAGCAGGTCACAGATCGTGATCTGGACCCGGTTCACTCGTCCGCTAGACAGCTCACCCCCGCATTTGATTTCATTCCTCATACCTCGGCAGATTGCGCGATGGCCGCATCGCAAGCCAGATTTGGGAGGAGGCCATCCACTTCCATGTTGGTCTTCCTCTGAGTGTAGGCATCACTGTGCTCAAGACAGGGCACCTTTGCACCTTCTCGGCGAAGACGTGTCTTAATCGCTTCTCGTGGGCGATCACACGCGCGATCCGATCGAGGATTTGATCACAGTGAAGTTCAACTGCCGACCGACGGAGGCCATCCCAGCACGTGACTTCGGCCGAGGATGGGAAGGTGGGGGGCCGAAAGACCAACTTCCAAGAGCGAACCACCAGGGTGTGGACAGTGACATTATATGGTGATCAGGCCGTTTCTTTGGAAGAATGAGAGGAAGGTATATTAGTAGAACCATTGTAGTTCGACAATGAATTGATTTGCCAGGTCCGAATGGTCAAAAGTATTCCGGACAGAACATGCACGTATGTATTTTATATGTATTTTATGTTAGTTATAATTCTAGTGTTTCTGAATCTATTGCCTAAACCTCCGGATCAGTGTTCGCTCGTTTCGGCTCAGGAAAGGACTGGGATGCCTTTGACTTGATGCGCCAGCGCCGCTCCTGCCGTTCCTTCCAGGTGCTTTCGTCAGGGACGATTCAAGGAACTCGAACAGTGCTTTACCATGCTTTACCCCAGCTGGTTTTCCTGTGTGTGTGGTTTAATGGGTATCTTACTCAACTAGTGGAGACATCTTGCACGAAGTGCCAATTATACACAATACTGTAACTACAGTATACTGTCAACACAGTAGGATGTGTAGATAATTATATATTTATTGTAGCATCCCATTCCGACCCATTCCTGCACAATTTGGACTCAGAAGGACACACACACATGCCACTTGACTTGCTGGTTCCACATCGGACAAGTCAAACTGACCTGAATCGTTCCAGTTCTTGACTGTAGGACCAATTTTTAGGCTGATGCTTCACACAGATGTAGCAGAACTCTGTCAGTGACAATCCGTCCTTGAAAAGAGAACCATGTTTGCCGAATCTTCATCGAGTCTCTCGCAGCTCGTCAAGGCCCCATACTTCGTCATCAGTTCGTGCACCCGTTTTGCTCTAACCACTCCAACCTCCGTTTGGCCTTCAGTGTTTGAGCCTCAGGGTCAACTCTCTCTCTCTCTCTCTTTCTCACACCACCTCTTCTTTCGGTGTGTTTGACATCCTTTTCAACCCCCAAAAACCACTCAGTCTCCCCGACTCGTCCGCCAGTGGCGGGACCTGACCCCTGAGCACCGGAACGAGCTCATGGAGTGCGTCCAGGCGCGGCGGACCGTGGGCGGCCCGTCCGCGCCCCGTCCAAGCCGGGGAAAGGGGGGGGGTTTGTGGTCAAGGGTGGTCACAGCTGCAGTCCTGGTTTTGTTGACCACGGAAAAGTGGGGCGAACCTTTTGGGGGGATTGAGTGACCCTAGGGAGTCGGATGGTTGATCGTCATGAATCGTCAGATCGTCAGGGCCTATTTGAGTGGACTTGAAGAGATTGATAGTTCGCTCCCCAGATGAGGTCTTACACCTAAAGCACTCCATGTGATTATGGAATATTTATACTTATATATAATATAGTGTGGTTTCAGGGATCAAATGTGGAGAACGCATTCCATCATGGAGTGTGTGTTTGGGATTAGTACAGTTTGTCCATTTGTCAACCTATACTACCGGCTTCGTGTGGTGATGTCAGAGGGTGCGTCACCGTGAGCATCTGAAAAAAGTAACGTTTAAGTCCTGGGATGTTCATGTGACTGGGCGGTTCTTAAAAGAAACTTGCGTCCCTGGCGGCCACTGAGCCACAGCCATGGAGTCCCTTTTGGAAGGATGGCCAGCGCCTTGTTCCGGTCGACCGGTGTCAGGCCAACCTTCTTCCACAGAAGATGCTCGGAAGCTTGGAGATGCAAGGGGTGGAACCGCAGGGTCCGTGGCACTTGGAGGGCACGTCAACAGGGCACCGTTAAGGGACACATGGGCGTTTTCGTGAGAACTGTATGCTGCAGTCAAGCCAAGAACACGCGTATCCAGGGGCATTACTAATGTATATCAAGGGTATCCAGGGACTGGAGCGTTAAGGCTTTGCACCCAGAATTGACTCCTGAAACCTCCAATGAGTTCATTCGGCAGTTACTGTCATCAGCTTGCACACGCTCTCAGAGAGGAGCCTCACGGCATCCACCACGGTAGAGCGGGAGCCTCTCCCTGGTTACCATCTGGTTCTCATCTTGATTTGCAATCAAACAAGGATCCTCATTCCTTGGATGAACCTGGGACCAAGATAGACCAAGACCACACGTAGTATCCACACGTGCTTTTGAGGAAGAACAGTGGCATGACGCATCATGCCAACCATCCAGAATCTGTTGGGAGACAGGAATGGATAGTGACAGGAGAGAAGGCCAGGAGAGAAGGCCACAAGAATTCCCAACCTGATTCCCTATATTCCTCCAGTAATTTCCTACCCACCATTTCCAGAAAACCAAAACAACCTGAGCCTTCTCCTGACATGGTCTTCCCTCAGATTCTCCGCAACAACTCCAGGATCCAAACCGATTCGTTTGGAGTACATCCGAGAGCCTCTCACGGTCTGGCCTGTAGTCGGCTGCCCGGAGGCCTAGATTTGTCACGGAAGCACGAAAAACCTCGGGTGCAAGCGGTTTGTTTACTGAGCAACTGCTCAGGTTGCTCAGAGGGTACATCACTTTAATTCATCATGGCACTGGATGTCATCCTCTACCACTCAACCTCCTTATCCTCGTGCCAGCGGTGAAAAACGGATGGAGGGATGAACGGTGAGCTCCGCGGGTGGGGCAAACATTGTTACTAGTAAGGCCCTTGCTCCTAGAAGCGATGCACTTGTTCCCTTCGTAGCGAACATATAGACCCTCCGCACGGCCCATCACCTCGGATCAGGTGGTTAGACTCCCCCCCACACTCCCACCCCAAACCACCTTCGAAATGGAGGTAGTTAGAGACCTAGGGAGAATGCGGAATGCTGTTGAGGTTGGAACAACGAGTGGATCCCAGTTGCCGATAGATCTGCAACCAGTGGTTCAAGATCTAGAGCTTTGGTTCGCGTTTCTTAGATTCCCCCAGGCTTGGGGTTTCGATCATCAACATGCGCCAAGAGGTTCCGAGGAGAACCGACCCAAACAACACCAAAAACACATAACAAACAACCAACATATCGGTCCCCAAACGTTTTCTCGCGTCGGAATTGGGCTCCAGGTCCACCTCTTTAAATTTAGATATCCTCCCACTCACTAACATGGAAGCGGACACTCAGCTGGTTCCTTTCAGGAACATGGTTATCCAGGCGTCCATGTTCCACTCCACGTAACCATGTGATGTTTTCGTCAGAGTGTACTCCACGTTCCACTTGGTCTCACTGCTCCCTCTTGCCCCCCATTACACGGTCCTAGACCGACCCTGGCCGTCCCACGTCCGCCGAGTTCGGCGTTCATGGGTTCGCGAGGCCATGAGTTCTTGGTGGCCATCGCGCCCAAGGAGTACGACCGCCTGGCCGTGCTGGACGTGGGCCGGTCTTTGCAAAAGGTGGTCTTGCGACTCGGCCGAGATAGGACGAAGGGATAGGCTTAGGACGAAGACTGGTTAGAGTGGCACATAGTGTCACTGTGAGTGTAGACTATACAGTATTTGTGTGTGTGTTCTGTTTTTTTCCCCCTTCGCTGAGGCATGCAACACGCATGGGGTTGGCCACTTGTTGGATTGGCCCTGGCGCAGATCAGAGCAGCGTCCAACAGAAGCTAGGCCCTCGCTTCAATGAGGAGATGGATGTGGACATGGTTGGAGATGGGTGGATTTCAATGGAATTCAGTTTAATGGCAATCAACTGTGAATGAACATGTGTAGGCGTAAGATGCGTAAGCATGAAGCTGATCATTGACTGAAAGTTGGCTGGGAGGGTGAGCGGATGGGTTGCAGGGTTTTGGGAGGGGTAGTCCATTTGAAGACCCCCAACGCCCCAACAAAGGTTGTCTTGGTATGTCTTGTTTATGTCTTGCTTGTATTCTCAGATGGCCAACACCAGGCCCATGAGGTTCCTCTGCCAGGCCTGTGTTCTGCATGTCTTGCGCTATCTTGCGCTCGATGTGCGGAGGTCTCAGGAAAGGGCTCGGCTAGGTTCTTGAGTGCCAGAACACCATGTGGTCCCAGCTCTTGCAAACACACCGGACCGCGGTCAGGCAGAAATGGTTGGGTCCGTTTTGGCCGCAGCCGAGCAGGAGAAAGACCACATCATTTGTGTTTGTGCCATTGGGAACCTTGGTGCAGACAAAGGTCACGCGTTCTCAGTGATGCCTGAAGGTCATCACAAACCCATGCATTGGCGTCCCAAAGGACTTCATTCGCCCACAGATTGATCAACCAACCGACATGCATAGTCTGAGGGTCACTGGAGCCAGATGCGCGAGAGCGACTTCATGTCTTTTGATCCAGATCAGTACCGGACGTATTCGCACCACTGGAGATAAGCACAAAACATCCTGAGCCATTCCCAGATGCTCCATGTATGGAATATATGCTTACATTGGGGTGGTTACTTTGGGGGGTCTGTCTGGGGCGGCAGTCCGACATGGCAGTCTCAGACAGGTCGCGTCTGGGCATTAGGAGCGTCTGGTTGTACATGTCAATTACACCTTAACGACGGGTCGGGTCGCCGGCCTGTGCCCTGGTGGAGGGTCGGGTGGATGACTGCCTGGCAGCTCCTAAGAAAGAACCAAAGTACTCAAAGGACTGCATTGCTGTACCTACATGTACCTACTCATCCACAGGTCAGTTCTCCCACAGGTCGCCAGGTGAGGCGATTACAATAGAGCTAGGCTCTGGGGCGGGTCTTTGCGCCCGAGAAGGGGTCCAGAGTTCCAGTTCCGAGCCCTTCATTCTGCCTGACCTGCGTGGGTACGTTGGCTCATTGATGGAAGAGGTACCCCCGTTTTTTGGTGAACCACCAATAGGATCAATAGGCAACAGGATCTATGGCACCAAATTGGACCCCTACCAGCCACCATCCTGTTTGGCTGGAAATCCCGGATAGTAGTGCAGTCCAGGCAGGACACCCAAACAGGATGGTCCTGGATTAGTTACCAAAGGAACGTCTTTGGGTCGTTTGGGTGGAAGTGGAAAATCATCGACACCGACGAGCCTCTCGAGGTATCCATCCTGGTATATGCCAACGACCATCAAGTGGACCGTGAACATGGCCGCTGAACGCAGAGGTGTTTGACACACCCAATTTCTCAGGGGCGAATGGTATCAGACGAAGACGAGGGACAATGGACACCATGTCCAAGAATGAAGCTCGCTGATGAAGAACACAAAGAATTAATCAATCACGGCAAATGTATATATATATATATGAATCAAACCCCTAATTACAAGCACGGACAAGCACACTGCATGTGTGTGTGTGTGTGTTTGTGTTCAAGGGTGGTTTCTGTTTGCTTGATAATCTCCTTCCGGAAGGGGAATCGAATGGAAGGAAACACCCCAGCTCGGTTGGTGCATTGGTTGGACCACAGTTTTGATCGGAAATTGCAATTATATAATATATAGCTGTTGAAGGGGATGGGTCAAATTTTGGGCTCCACGTGCTGGTCATTGCATCAGTTCCATTTTGGGCCTGCATTGTACAGTGGTTTCAGAATAGATGGCACCAATCTCCCAAGTTTGGTGGTTTATATGGATCCCCTATATAAAAGACATCTTCGGGTGCCAGTGCGCTCATCTGATGGCCCATGTTCTCTTGGCTTCGCCTCTCCGGGCTCCGACGTGTGACACGTCGGAGGGGGCCAAGGGATCAGCTGATTAGGCCATGAAATTGGGTACGTATTTGTTACGTTGTAGCGATGCACTTGCTAGTAGCGATGCACTTTGTTCCTAGCTTCTTGTTACTAGTGACATGGCCTCCACTGAGTGGGACCCTGGGACCGCTGTGGGACCACGTTTTGCTCAGTTCTCTGCGACGCGCAATCCGCTCTCGAAGCTCTTCTTCCGGGATAGCCGCTTTGAGACGCCTTTGAGCACTGAGGAGCGAAGGGGTATTTCCGGTGAGAGAATCGAAGAGGTGAAGGTGTGGTTTTTGGAGAACACCAGAACACCAGAACACTGGTGCAAAACATGAAAGTGGTCGGTACACAAGTTCTGGTGAGAAGTGGTCCTGGAAGAGGGGATGTTCTTCACAACATCTGAGACACCCAGCCTTTTGGTGGTTTTCATAGCTGAAGACAGTCCATGGCCTTTGAAGAGCAGTTGGCCAAAGAACCCCCCACAACCGCTGTTTTAGAAGTGAATCACTGAACCTTAATTAGTTATGTTGTATGATTTTGTTGTTTGTTTCGTTGAAATTGGTGGCTTTCGTATTTCTTTTGCAGTGGGCAAATTAGTTCAGAGACACTGAAATTCTGAAAACATTGCCAATTTGGGGCAAAATGCAGCATGATTTTCTTCATCGAGATGAAGATCCTCAATCTATAGATGTCATTTAGTTGGTTCCATCCTTTTCGGTGCTTGGACGTCGCGTTCCGTCGCTCCTGTGATTGCCCATGATTATAGCCCATTTTGGTTTCAATCGCCTTTGAGCAACCGGTGGGTTTCTTGGCCCAACTGAATGATACGCTTTGCCATTCTATGGGGGCCACATCAGATCATCAAAACCTGCAATGGCCACTTCAATAGTGAACACCCAGTTGAACACCCTAATGCTTCAAACATGTCCATATCAACCAACCACAAATCGGAAGGGGTCTCCGGGCTCCGCATTTTCCTCTTGCCATGAAGGAGCCAAGGAGCTACAGGAGTTCCCAAACTGCTTGCTACAGCAAGAGTCATGATGGTCATGTTTCCAGACATTCTACAAGAGAGTCGAACATCGGAACAGCGTAAGCAATTCGTCCATAAGCTTCAATTCGTCCATGGAGACCGCGGTCTCCACGTTTTGAACCTGAAGATGCCTGAAGATGGACGAGCCGGTAGCCTTCGCCACGTTTGTTAGCCACAACATCTTGGAATTGAAGAATTCGTCCAAACCAAGCAGCCATCCTGTTGGCTGAGCTGTCCTGTTGGCAGGCCCCGCCCTTCAGCCGTTATGGGCGCTGTTACGAGGCGGGGGCGACAAAGGCATGGGACGACATGAACTGCTGCGCTCGTTTCCTTTGAAAGGAATATATTAGGCGGTCAAACAAGACATTGCTTATTTCATGAGTCCTTGAAGGGCTCTGGAGGATCTGACAAAACAATGAAGGCTTTTCTAAAACAAAACGATCATGAAAGACTGAAAGATCTGGAAAAAGTCATTTTTTGGGGGCTCAACACTCTCTTGCGGCTGCGATGTCTTGACCCAAAGACAGCGTCGAACACCTGTTTCAACAGCTCCACATGGCGTTCTGACTATTCTCCACATTTCAAGTCGTTGGAGTGAGGCTTGCCAATGGGCTCCAAGTTCTTTCAATGCTCAACCTGTTCGCGTGGTGGGACACGCCGAAGGTCGGGTTTTTGGTTGTTTTTTTTTTCCCCAAATAGTGCTCCGCACTAAGGGGTTCTTACGGTGAGAGTTAAGCAGGGTTAGATGAGGGTTCGCGTTTGTGGCTGCGGCATTTTGCGTGGGCCGGCTCGCACAAAAGTTACTTTTTGAATTCCTCATGTCCATTTCGACTGCGCAGGCTCGCATAAATTGGGGGCCGCGGTCTTCGTGCTTCCGGGGCGTTGCTCTCGTGCAGGTGCCGTGCTCGTTTTCGGAGCTAAAGTGAATTTCGCGTGGCAGGCGCAAGGAATTCGACACATTGGAGCCTCGAAAAGGTCATTTTACGTGGCAGGTGCAAGGAATCGGAGACTTTGCAAATTTCGTGGCAGGCGCAGTGTTTTGTGGACGTTGCAAAAACGTTGGCGGGCGTGTGTCATTCGCAGGACTGCGTTTCACGTGGCAGGCGCAGGGAATCCGCACCATGGATGCGATATTTTGAGGTGAAAGGGCTGAATTCGTGAGAGGGGTTGCATTTTTGGACTTGGACCTTGAGGATGATTTTGCGTGGCCAGTGCAGCATTTCGTATGACCTGCAGGCATGATTTCGTGGCAGGCACAGCATTTCTGAAACGCATGTCAAAATTTGCGAAAGCCTCGTGCAATTTGCTCATTTTGGATCTCCAATGTGCAGATTTCGTGGCAGGCGCAGCACTTTGTGAATCTCGATGTGCAGATTCGTGGCAGGCGCAGCACTTTGTGAATCTCGATGTGCAGAGTGCGTGGCAGGCGCAGCACTTTGTGAATCTCGATGTGCAGATTTCGTGGCAGGCGCAGCACTTTGTGAATCTCGATGTGCAGATCTCGTGGCAGGCGCAGCACTTTGTGAAGCTCGATGTGCAGATTTCGTGGCAGGCGCAGTACTTTGTGAACCTCGATGTGCAGAGTTCGTGGCAGGCGCAGTACTTTGTGAACCTCGATGTGCAGATTTCGTGGCAGGCGCGGTACATTGTGAACTTCGAAATGCTCCTATGTACTTGCCTGTGTGCTCTCAGAGTGGTGCTTGTATGTGCTCTCACATTTGTGCTCTCAGATGTGTGCTCTCATGTGCTCTCATATGTGCTCCCATATGCTCTCATATGTGTGCTCGTGAATCTCGATGTGCAGATGTTCTTGAAGGGTTTTGAATTTCAATGAACTTGCCGTTTTGGAAGTTGTTGGCTCGACCACCACCGTCAGCGCCACCTTCACCACCACCAGTACCATGACCAGCACCACTACCTCCACCGCCACCACTTTTATAGATATTAGGACAAACCACCTGGCCAGCCATGGCCGCCGTCACCTTCGCAGTTTTACTGGGTGCTGTATCCGCGTCTGTGCGTAGTGACTTGGAGCATCTGGGGTCGTGCGTTGTCACTGATGCGCTTGTGGTTGCACAGTGCAAGGCCTTGTTGCAGGGTCTCAATTCCAACACAAAGGGCCTTCGTGAAGCCTGCCAGACTGCAGATATCCGTGGAAAACGAAATGGAATGCGTTTGAACCAGGAGGAACTCCGGGAACTCGTCAAGACAAAGCTTTTGAATTTGTTGCCACCCGTGAAGTTTGAAGCGTTGCTCCAATATGCATCGTTGGAGACGCACGTTGAGCTTCGTTCCTTTGGTGACGTCTTTGTGGCAGCGCAGGAAGCTGGAAGGATCAAAGAACTCTTGCTTGTTTTGGGGCCTGGTGAGACCAGCCAATCAAGATGCAGGGCTGTTTTCCGTGATTGGGGCGTGGCGCGGCGCGTTGCCGGTAGAGGTACCGAGCGCTCGGTCGATGCAGCAAAGTCAGAACTGATGGGTGTATGTATACGTTTTTTGAAAGAATGCGAACACACTCCCGATGGGCGTGCTGCAGAATCTTCTCGGACATTCCAGATCTCGCCATACTGCATCTTTGCGAGTGCGGAGGCCATGGTGCCAGCGTGCCTCCAGCAGTGCGGATGCGCCTGCAAGAAGGGTGCTCCTCCTGCAACATCCTCTTTCAGGACAACTATGTTCTTCTTTGGCGCGCGCAGTTGGTGCACTTCACCACCGCGCCTTCACTCCATCCTCTCCTTGTGCGCCCCACAGCTGCTGGTCGTCCGCATACTTATCAGATGTATCAATGCCTCCCTGCTGCTGCGCCGTGCCAGCTCTCTCCGATCACGGTCGTGCATCTGCACAATCGGTCTTCGAAGGCGCATGTCCTCAAGGACTCCGTTCGCAAGCGCATCGTGGAATGGATGGCAGACTTACCCCCTCCATGGATCACAGGCGGGGATTTGAACATTCAAAGATGGAAAGTCGAACAACACGCTCGGGTTGGGAGCGTCGCAGACTCAGGTGCTGCCGGTGCCGATCTTCTCTTTCATTCTCCCGACCTTCCTGTTCAGCCTCTGCCCTGCCGCGTCGGGCGCTTCTTCCATCGCGAATGCATTTCCGATGCCCACAATGTCGTGCTCGCGGAAGTTCTTCTCCCCGAGGGACCTCCTCCAAGTCATCGCCTGCCGGAGCCTTCCGCACCAGCCTCTTTCTTTCCTCCACTCCCCGCTGGCGGTGCGGCTGCGCCCGCTACTCCCTCCGGCTCCATTCCTGCCGATACGCAGCAACCAGCCCGCGACACGCAGATTGGCCCCGAGGGATCTCCTCCACGTCGTCGCCTGCGGGAGCCTTCCGAACCAGCTTCTTTCTTTCCTTCACTCCGCGCTGGCGGTGCGGCTGCGCCCGCTCCTCCCACCAGCGCCCTTCCTGCCACTACCCGGGTACCAGCCCAAAACACGCAGATGCCTGTGTCCATGCCACCTGCGTCTCCTGGTACCTCTGGCTGTCGGGATTGGCCCGCTCCCTGGCTACCAAGCCCGGCCACGCGGGCGCCTCTGCCCGCACCGCCGCCGTCTCCTACTGGCTCTTGCGGTGCGGTTGCGCCCGCTCCGCGCCCGATTCCTCTCTCACAGTGCCCTCCACAACCACCTCCGACGCCTCCAACTCCTACTGGCTCTGCAGACGCGCCTCCCAGTGCGGATGCGCATGGTACTGCGGATGCGGCTCCGCCTGCCGCTGACCCCGCGCACAGTGTCCACTTCGTTGCGAGTCCCGACTCTTCTAGCGCTCTCGCGTTTGTGACTCCTCTTGCGCCGCTTACCGCTGCGGATGCGCGTGGTACCGCGACGGCCGATCTGCCAGAAACTGAGGGCGAGGAGATACATCCTTTGCGCGCAGAGCTGCTAGCTTTGGCAACCTGCCGCGCTGTGGCGCCTCGAGATGTCTTGCGCCTTCTCCCTCCCCCTCCTTCCTACACCAGCTTCCCTTTGGCCTGGGCTTGGTCTGTCGACGGGCAGCAGTATACATGGCCCGATTTTGTCGCGTACTATGGTCCTGCTAAGGCGGAGGAGAGATGGAATTTTGCCTGCAAGGTTACGCAGGAAGTGCACCAAGCGACTCTGTCTCTCGTTACTCTCCATGAACGCCTCCGCGACATCGCGGATACGGTTCCGGCCGTGCGCGACTTGGCGGACACAGTGCGATTGTTTTTGATCGATCCGGCTTTACCTCCGCTGGACATGCCTCAGCGCCTCCGCATGCTCTTGCTCCTCCCTCTTTGGGTGCGTCGACACGCTCTGGAATCTTGCGGGTGCGCGGATTCTGAGCGCATGTCGGAGTCTATGTTCACCACGACCTGGCTCCATTGGCAACGGGCATGGTGTGAGGCGGAGTTGACGCCCCGCCAGTGGCATCAAAATAGCGTCACGAAGCGAGGCTATTTTTTTGCCTACCTCAAACGCACTTGTGGCAACCCCGTGTGGGTGAAGGCTCTGCTCAAACATGGAACCAAATACCTGGCCCCCTTGTTGTTGACTCTTTTGGAGGCGCGTGCCGCCAATCCCGTTTCGCGCGGCGGCCGGGTTCTTTGGTGCCGCGTGGATGCCGAGTATGATGCATGGCTTGCGTCCTGATGTCCTCCACCAGCTGACAGTTGCATCCTTCACCTCGTCCCATGCGGTTGCGCTGGGGCGGCCCTTCGCCTCGGACTCGCACGCACTCGCAGCTTGCCACCGCGGAAAACATGCGCGTCTGCAGTCGTAGCTTTTTGTTTTACAACGACCTTCAAGCCATACTACTCCCTAGCATTTTTGGCACTACTTTGCTCGCACTCTCCTTCTTATAACCTCACACCTGGTCCCCCTGGTCTTTCACATGCTTCCGCATCTGCTGCTCTCATCTGTGCACTCTCACATTTGTGCTCTTGTCCGTCTCCTCTCATCTTTGTGCTTTCATCTCTGTGCTCCTTCTTTCCTTCCACGTGATGTCATGTTCCATGTGTTCCTCTTTACACTATTTGGGGTCCCTTGCCGGTGTAATGTTTTGTTTCTTTTTTTGTTTTTGGGTGTGGGACCGCCGGGGATCAGCGATTTGGGCATTCAGACTGATCTTAAAGTTTCATCCAAAGGCTCGGATGCCCGTTCTCGCTCGTGCATTGTCACTGGCGGGTTCATTCAGTTCATTCAGTTCCACCTTTCAGTCATCAGTTAGTTGGGTGATAGCGTGGCGGATTAGGTATTCATTGGGTTTGTCCTATTGCCTGTAACAGTCGGTAAAATTGCAAATCACTATTGTTGAACAAGGCCTTTACCATCCTTGACCAAGCATCATCATCCACTGTTACTGACAATAATAGGATCGACCCAAGGTATTCACATTGTTGCGAGTGTGTTGGAACCATCACAAAGACAGGTTCCTCGACAAGTCAAGTCCAGAAAGTGACTTGGAGCACTAGCTACTAGTTGAACCATGTTGAAACGATGATAAACGATGCTCGACATGGAACACCCCTCACCGGGCGTTGCTAGCTTTGCTCGCTGCTAGCTTAGACCAAGGGTGCTTTTGGTTGTGTTTTAGAGGTCCGATTTCTTCACACTCATCGGGGTGAGACACATCGCCATTGTTTCTGAGGAATGGTACCCTACCCAGATCGTGGATCATGTAAAAATGGAGAATACTATCGGACACCTACCGCCCTACCGCCCAATTAATCCCATCTCCTTCTTTACACTGTAGCTTGTTTACAGATCACCTGAAAAAAAAAAAAAAACTACACTGTGGCTCCACCAATTCAAAGACTCCCATCAACCTTCTCACCCTTCTCATCTCGTTCAAATCCGTCGGCCTCGATCTGGATCCGTCGGCCTCGATCTGGATCCGTCGGCCTCGATCTGGATCCGTCGGCCTCGATCTGGATCCGTCGGCTCCTCCAGGGCAACGCTTTGACTTTTATGGAGCCAATAGTTCCCGCTATTACACCCCAGTGGCCGTGGGTCACTTGGAGAAGCGGAGCAAGCGGCCGGGTAGAGCGGTATCGCAGCGGAGCGGCTGGCGAAACAAAGAGTGGACCTATTACCGTGGATGTTGGGCCCTGTGTGGTTGAGTGGGGATCATTTCATATGAGGGCCGTCCGTTATTGCCAGTGAAGGAATTTCGATCAACTGTTAAAACAAACACGTCGCGAAAGGGAAACTGCAGTCCGCGAAAGGCCGGCGATAGGACAGCGAAAGACATGTGCCAACCTAGACTTACAATGTGCATAATACATGACACATCCTTTTTCCCGAACAGAAACACGGATTTTCGCGAAAGGGCTGCGAAAGGCCGGCGGTAGGCCCGCGAAAGAGCGCATTGCCTGGAAGGGCATTTGCCCATCCATGGCCTTGAAATAAGCCTTGAAACCTTTGTTTCAAGTATGAATTGACAAAGGGTAATTAGCCTGCTTCTCAGCGCACTAAAAGGGATTTAGATGTCCAAACACTGTGAACTCAGTGCAATGGAACAAGCTCATCACAATGCGCGAAAGGAAAACCTGTGGTTTTTCTGCAAACGCGAAAGGGTCGCGAAAGGCCGGCGATACAAGCTCAAAAAGAAGAGCTTTGTTGGACAACCCCCATATGGTCAAAAGTTTTTAATAGTATAGTAAAGGAAACATCATGTTGCTTGTGTGTAATTATACTTGAATTAATTCAGCCTAATAATTACGTGCCCTCAATTTACTCGAGCAAGCAGTTCTTGCAGAGCGACCATGTGCAACCCTCCTTTTGCAACCACTGGCCACGGCTCTAAATTGTGATAAGGTTTGCAGTGAACTCATCCTTTTCTATACTACACAGACATAAGTCCAGAACATTCCAGAACCCTAAGTTAAGTGGTGAATGGGTTTGTTTGGCATCTGGGCTGTTTGGGAGCCAAAGTGAGTCAGTGGGATTGCATACTCTGTTCTATGGATGTCGATCTATGGAAGTTTGGCATGTTTTGCTGTTTTGCCCACACAAGGACACAAGGGTATATATATAGATGTATGTGTCATGATGTGTCTACATTTAGTTTGGTTTCACAGGGTGATTCTCAGGAGTTTCTGGTGGTCAGAGTTCTCGTAGAAGGTGAACTCTGTGATCGTAGAAGTTTTGCAGACAGCGTCAAACCATGACTCTTTGAACTGAGGATAACTGAGGTGTTGTATGTTTTTGGTGAGGTGTTGCGTCCTATCATCATATCAGAACATAAGACTTCAAAGGTAAAACGGGAGAACTCAAATAGTCTTGCATATAAAAGAATAAAAACACACATCACAGTCTTCATGTGGAGCAGTGACTGGCAGAGACAGATGCCAAGCACATACGGGTACATGAAGTATTACAGTTTACACAGACACACAAAGGTTCCATGCCAGACACTGACCGAACGTGCGGAGTACATGCACCGTCCCACCGGCACCGTCCCACTGGTAGAAAACCGGTGGAAAACTGGGCGCCAGCTGAGGCATTTGGCTCGCGAACTGGGAAACAGGCGAGCTCTCGAAAGCACGGCGCTCGGGGCCTTGCCCTTCGGGTCGGTTCCAGAATATATAATAACTGGTGTGATCAGGAAAATTGAGGGTGGATCCTGAATCGCACGCGCGGAGTGTCCGGAGGAGTGTCCAGAGGTCATTATGTGATGATCGACCCTTATTAATTACTAGAATATCCCAGAGCAGAAGATCACCGTTAAACATGCACATTCCATCATGAAAGATTATAGCGGCAGTGACCTGTGCGAGCTGGAAAAAACACAGGATGTTAGTGATCACGAGGAAGACCCACAGCTGCCTTGCCGTGCCAAACTCCTGATTGGCGTTGTTGCCGTGTCAGCAAATGGGAGCTACAGCCCTGGTTTGTTGAATAGAGGGGAGACCCTCAAAGGGTCTGTGGATGTCTATAGTAAATTGGCTTCAGAGTAGATGGCACAATCCCCAAAATGATATGTACGGGTTTGCTTCATCATCATGTACTCTGAAACCACTGTAACTGGCACTGACCTTCCTAAGTCCCAAAAGGACATCATTGGCGTCAAGTCTTCTTTTCCTCTGCCCAACGCCAACAGCCCATGAAGTCGCCGGTGGTTTTCCACCACGGTCGTCTTTGGTTTGCGAAAACACAGTCGTCTTCGTTTCCGCAGTTGGTTTGGTTGCTTTTTGGTTTGTCTTGTTGTTTGGTGGCTTTTTGGTTGCTCCCAACACTTTGGTTTGTTTTTGTTGGGAGATGGAAAACCAAAGTGTTGGGAGCGCAGACAAAGCAATCATTGGTTTTCGGGGAAGTGACTGCTACTTTGGACTTCCTGACTTGAGCTGTGTCCCAGGGCCGCCCAGAAGTTCATTAGGATGATGATGTTCTAGTGGACTGACACCAAGTAAGGCTTCATTTAATCACAGTGCTAAAGCCTTCACTCCTACAGTCTAAAGTTCTTCCATCCGCTGCTCGCAATCGGCTCGCGCATTGGCTGAAAGGCCCAGCCCATGGCGCTACGCCCTCCGCTGCTCGCGCGAGGTTGCGAAGCCCTGAAGATCAAGGGCCACTTCAAAATCATGGACAGCGAGAAGCTGGATGTGCCCGAAACGCCCAGCAAAACGCGCCGTGTTTGACGGATCGTCAAGTGGCGACATCGGGCGACCGACAAAGCGAACCAATCGGCCGCTCGCAAAGCGCCGGACTGACTGCATGGAGCCTGAGAAATCAATCCCAGACACTGCCAGGTGTGTCGTATTGACCGACGTGGAACATGTTCGACGGTCAATTAAGGAAGTGTTTGGGTCTCATTTTCTGGTGTTCTCCACAAGATGCCTGCCACGGTTCTGGGGATAGAGTGTTTTCTCACAGCTTTTAGACCGATCGATTCGCAGGTCATTCTGGTGAACCCCGTGGTCAGTTTCACCCTCGAACGCCACATCTACTTTAAAGATGTCGGTGCTGTGGGTGTGTATGAAAAGAGGGAGACCTCAACCAATGGGTAGACTGGTCTATTTCCCGAACTGAACCCAGGGGGTCTTTGGACTGTCCTATTTCTGCCAGTGGTTGGTTGCTGGAGGAGGGTGGGCCGCCAGGGGCACCTTTTTCTCTCTAAAACCAGCCCAACCTGCGGAGGGTTTCCTCATCGAAACTGGGTCTGAATTGGTTAGGTTCCTGATTCCATGTGAGTCACCGCAACGTTTTCTAATTTGTGACATGCCTCCAATTCGAGGCATGCCCATGAAGGGGGAATGCCTCCTCGTTTAGCATGCCCCCATTTACGGCCAGCTTTTGACCCATCGCATTGATGACGCTGTGTTTGACTGGCTCTCCCACTCGGACTCGGGGCCAAAGAGCGCGCAAAGAACGACTGAGGCCTGCGTTGACGAATGATGGGCCAGTCTATGACATGAGTTGCTTGGGATGAATCACGGATTGATGCGCTTGGAGCGCCTCGAGAGGGGTCCGAGGGGTAAGGGGAACCCTAAGCCCTAAGCTGGGGGGGTCATTCCATCCATTCAATTGCATCATATGTGCATTGTTTGTTGGTTTTGGGCATTCTCTTTTGGGGTGGTGCAAATCTCTTCATGGGGACAAGGGAGCAAGTTCCAGCCATTTCCAGCCATACGGACCAGCCGGCAATCTGCAGGAGACTTTGCCCCGAGGCTCATTGGAAAAGGTCCCAAACGTTCTGGTCCTGGGGTGTTCAAGAGATTTCACCCAAAAGATGTCACCCAGCTTTCTGGAAACACCATCCCCAGCAAAACCGATTGCCTGCTACTCCCTGGATCCGACTAAATAGAGTTCATTCTGAACAGATGTGACGGACCTTGACGTTTTTGCAGCTGTGTAGTTCTCCAAATGGGGAGATCGTCGCGAGAGGCGTGGGCCCCGGGTGATAATTTTAGTCTCCTGGAGGGAATGCTGGATTTCAGGCCTGTGTGTGTTTCTTTTTTTGTCTATAGCTGCTAGCTGTTTTAAGTGGTCAAGTTGCGTCAGGGCCGCGATCCTCGGGTTTCATCTATACGGAAGTGGAGCCCATTTTTCGAGGGAAGGCCTTGGTGCTTGACACCTGGACATCTCGGGGGCATTCCAGGCCAAATGCCCAATGACTTGTCGTCGGATTTCGGCGATGGGTTGCAAAAAAACAACAGGCACTGGTAAGAGGTGAGAGATGGGGACAGGGATACTTCATTATGATATACCAGGTGCACAGAGCACTGGGAAGCGTTGACATCTACAAAATAGGACCCGTTCGACCGTGAGGGTACCCTAGAAGAACAAGGCCAAAGCCTGAACATGGCATTTTGTAGAGCAGGTCCTTTTCAAATTGGTCATCCTGGGTCACCGAAGATAATTTATTTGGAATGCAGTTTTATAGAGAAGCGTGTTTGACACAAAAACATTACATAACATAAGAGAACAGAAACACAATTAAAACAAAAACCCACACACTACCAGCCACACAGAAGTGACATATAGATGGTGTTATTGTTTCCCACCTCCCCTTTGTGCCCCGACGGTTGTCCCTTTGGGATTGGCTTGCTTTGCCCTGTGATGCCCTGTGTGGTTCGTTCGGGGTCGAGGCGGAGACCGAGTGCTTCGAAGCACTCCTTCTGCTCAATCAAACAAAACACAAAGCACAGAGCGGTTTTCTTTTCTGGTCATTTCATAGGCCATCATAAGCCAGAGGTGTTTTTGTGTTGCTTAAGGTTGGTTGGTCACCTCATGTTGTGGATTTACGTGGTTTGGCATGAAGAGATCCTGAGAAAAGGATCGACCAAGCTTAGCGGCTTGTTATGATGAACATCTTCAGTTCAGGTCACCTGTTTCCAATGAAGAAACTGAACGGACACCAAACTGTTGCCTTCCGAACCCGTTAACCTCACAATATATATATATTATACATTATATATAGAGTACCCCCCAAAAAAGAAAACACCTCTCATCAAATTCACGGTACTTGTATATATTTATGGCGTTTTATGCATATTTTTGTAGATAAACAGTTCTTGTAGAAAACCACAGTTCGAAAACTCCAAAACTGCAGACCCCATGACCTGACCATAGCCACTCTGGGGCCCTAGGTCTGTGCAGTTTTGGAGTTTTGGACTTTTGGAGGCCCTCCAAAACTCCAAAACTGACCTGGGGTGCCTATTGGAGGTTAGGGGTGCCCATTATCCACTCACTTAGGGACCAAACACCACCCCTTTGTGACCCCTGATATATATATATGTTTAGGAAAGAACATATCTTCAGTTGCACTGGCAATGGGGCGAGTTTCTCGATGGCCCTTGCTTCAGTCTTCCCGTTTGCATCCCAGGTTGGATTTGCTCACCATGATCCACGTGAACAGCACCGGTCGCCTGTGCCTGACGGCGAACTGAAGAAGTCTCTTGCGCCAAGAAATGTGTGAATTCTCTGGAATTGGGTGGGGGATATCTCTCAACGTGTGCAAACTATGCAGGGTTCCCACGGGTTTACAATCAAATTTTTTGCTGCGAGAACTCGCACAAAAAAGAACTCGAACGCTTGGACTCGGCGAAGGCGAAGCGCTGATACTTTTTCGTGGGCGAGCACGGACTGGGTCAATGTGCCTTCCAAAAAAACAATGTTGTGTAACGCACTGAAGCGCATTCAAACGCTATCCCGCATTGGTTCTTCCTGTCAGCTTGATCTTCAGATCGCCAATAGACATGCCATGCGCGATGTCAGTGTTGGGCACTGCTTGGCCACTGTCCCTTTTTGCACAGGAATGCTGCTAGGGCGCCTGGTCTCTTCTGCCACAACGCTCTTTTGGGAGCGATCACTTCGTCTGGTTGAGCTTAGTTCGGCTCCACTGCCAGAAACTGTTGATTCACCTACTAGTCAGTTAAACTCGATGCGGCAAATTTTGTTGTACATGAAGACTCACTATTTCGATTCATGTGGCCTTCATGCTGAAAACAGTTGATTCCGTGTTAGCCGCAACCCTCAGGGGCCCTGAGCCGTCATCAAGCCGAAGCAATTCGTCTCGTTCGTCCTGATCGCAGTTCAGTCGCACCCTTTGGTAATTGGACACCCCACGCGAGTGTCACCTTTTTTGGTTATAGCCATTACCAGGGGCCCTCAAAACCATGAAAAAGCACAGGTGTTCGCATACAAAAACCATGTTTTTTGCTAGGGAACACCAGGTTTTTGATAGTTTGTGGGGCCCCTGGTATAGGTGTGATTGGACACTGTCCAGAGGCGTCACACGAGAAACACATCGGGATGACATGAGCTTTGTCCACGCTGGGCTGCACTTGTTCTGCCTTTCCCAAACACTCCATGCGCGGTTTTCATACATGACCCCTGAAAACAAGCATGTATGAAAACAAACATACTGGTAGCATAGTATTTGCCAGGTATGGAATATGTGTTTCACTCCACTCCACGGCAACATTGACCCCTGGTCAACCACTCCTGATCGGCACCGTCACAGCAGCAACAAGCGACATGCGAGGCATGCGAGACGCTCGCGAGCCCCTGAAAAAAAGGACACACCGCGGAACAAGAACAGAGGGTCAGATATTTTGGCCCATAGATGGTCATAGACGGTCACAGAGTCGTAGGATTGTTCCCGCCATCTTGCAGGACAACCACCTTTGTTTGGGAAACCTTTCTTGTCCTGCGTTTGTTGGTCCAATCTTCACTTTAGCTCAGGGTCTGAGTTTATTACCAGCTGACAAAGTATTGGATCACATTATACAGTAGTACCGTTCTGTTTGGAGCAGATGCTCGTGCGGTCGTCTCCCCATGAATGCTTTCAATGAGTGTTGTCCCAGACAAACTCTGCCGGCTTTCGGCTTTGAGAGCGAAGACTTGGCAATTGGCTCTTGCTTGTTTGAGGGTGTTGGTCCAACTGTTTACGGGGAATTTCCCCACAAGCTGTTTCTCAATGCCCCCAACATATCTTAGGTATTGCCAAGAGCTGCTCTGACCTGGACCTATGTTTTCAGGTTAGAAACTGCAAATAACCCTGGCCAGTCGCTGGATCCTTGGGATTGCCCGCTAGAACTGTGGAGACCTGTCTGGTCGCGACCGCTGACTCGTGAATCAGTGACTGTGGAGCGGACGCGGTAGCACAGACCTGGCACAGGAAAGAGAACGAGAGAGGTTGAGCGTTCAGGCAGCATCTCGATATTTCAGGTGCAATACCCAGCAAGACCTCTTTTTGGCAGTTTAAACCTTCCAGAAGAATCCACATACCAGCACCATACCTCCTATTCTGGAGTTTTCCGGTGTTGGACAAGTTTGCCAAGCCGAAAAGAGATGTACGTACTGAGAGATGGAACCATGATGGCAGCAAGGTGCTGATGCTTTCCCCGACTGGAACTGAGACAATTAGTGGCCAAAAACAAGACCATACCAGGAGTCACAAAGGGGTGCCTATTGGAGGTTAGGGGTGCCCATTATCCACTCACTTAGGGACCAAACACCACCCCTTTGTGACCCCTGGTAGAGGATGTTGTTCCCAAGTTTCCGTGCCTTCTGGCATCAGGATCAGAATGGCTCACGCAACTTTCGCAGGAGCCCAAACTAGATGAGTATGTGAAAACAGATGGGAAGGTCTTCAAGCTCAGCCCAAGCCCTTTTTATCCTGAGTAAAGGCTTGGTGGATTGTGCACATGTGTGCATGCTGGTGGTCGAGGTCTTCCTTGGGCCTCATCATGTCAAAGGAGCCACTCAAACCACAGGGGCAGGGGGCAGGTTGGTGAGGTGAATCAGCATTTCCATCACGATCAACAATGATCACCACAATCATAGTCATCACAACCATATCGTAAGTATTCGTAAGTTATATTCATTCAATAGTTGTCCTCCTCCTTTTTATCCTCATCCTCATCCTCATTATTATCCTCCTCCTCATCATCATCATCTTGCTTCACAAATGTCCTCCCCATCGGGAAGATTCTGCAAGGGCTGGAAGCGCCGCCAGAGCCATTCGGGTCTCGAGGAGGCCAGAGGAGTCGCATTGCCACAGGTTGCCAGTTTTGAGCTTCAAAAAGGTTGGTTGAGTTGGTTGGTTTGGATTGGGCGGTTGGGTTGGGTTGATGTTTGTCACGAAGACATGGTTGTGTAGAACCCAGCAAAAGAGGTCTTCAGCACGTTCAGCCTTCCTCGAGCCAGGACAAAGAACCATTTAAAACCAACCCTTGCCGTGCCAAATTTTTCAGGTCACAGCTACGTGCAATGAGGTAATCTTCGCCTACAGGGTCCACTGTAGGTGGTCCTTTGGAAATCTTTGGAGTATTGTTTTGTAAGACAAAATCGGATTGAACATGTGATTACCTTTCTTTGAGATATGATTTTGAAGTCATGAGCTGATTCTTGTATAACTTGGCTTATCAAGACTCGATCATCTTGTGCTTTTGGATTGTCCTCATCGATGACTTGGGGCTGTGGAAGCTGTCACTGCAGGTCCCCGAGGCTCCGCGACCAGCGCCTCCACCAGCAGAGGTGGGATGAGAAAGCGGACTGCTTCGGGCCTCTTTGTTCGCTGGGGCATCCGCCGTTCATGCACGAAACACCGGGCTGTCGTGGGGTTTTGCTCGGTGTTTTTGTTGGGATGGTGCAGATCAGGATCGTAGTGCTTTAGGGGTTTCTGCTTGCTGCCAACCTTTGGGCTTATCAAAACCAAGTCTGTAAGAGAGGGACTTTGGACAGGTCTGAGGGGCGATCCACTGGAAGAGTGGGAAGACCCAGAACCTACCCAGGAAAAGTGGAAAACCTTTAGCCTTTTTGGTGGATAGATAAGTAACAAGAAGCTAGTAGTAACAAGAAGCTACTAGGGGCTCCTGGCATCGCTTCTAGTAACAAGTGCCTTACTAGTAGTATACATTACAGAGGTTTCCGCAAAAATCGAACAGGTGGAAAGTTTGGTTAACTTTCCAACACCTCTCCGGCATGGAAAAACCGGGTGAAGTCAAGTGAGGCGGTCTTTGCTCCTTGAAAAGGCCGCATGGGCCTTAAAGTGGGGAATCAGGACACTCATTGTTGGATGTTCAGGATCTTTTGCCAGGACTCAGATGGATCCAGAGCAGGCATCAGTGGGTCTTGTTGCACCAGAGGGTGGAATCTCTTGTGGAGAGGCAGCCTTTTGGAATCCTGTAATGGAAGATGGGCAGATGTTGAAAAGCCAGGCTTGATGTTTTGTCAGCCCATCGAGCCACACCACCGCACATGATAGCGAGAAGTATGTTGTCAATTGGGTGAGATGGCTGAAGCAACAGGCGAAACATGACGGAAGGCCAATAGAACAGGATGTTCAGCTGGAGAGTCGTTCTTTTTCATGTTTCTCACCTTTTTTTGTCAGGGGCTGGGTGTCTCCTGAGAGTCCCCTCTTGCCAGGAAGCACCAAAAAAAGGAGCTTTGCTGAGTTCCCAAACTGCTTGGCTAGAAACTCTCTGGAAGTGTTGGGACGCTACACTCCTTGAAACGTATCATGGAAGTGGATGGCATGGTATTTGGGAACCGATGGCCATTTGTGCCTCTACAGGGTTTTTTCCACTTGATTACTTCGGGAAGTTCTATATATCCCAGACGCTCCATGGGACTGCCATATATATGCCATATATGCCCGGCTGCCCCAAGTCTGGCCTGATCGGCATATAAGTCCTATGGCAGTTTCATGAGTCGTGTTTGGGTATGGCTGGTGTGGGTTCGCTTTGTTTGATCGGCACGTCCCCCGGTGCCAGGCAGGGCTTCCATCCGAGCTCAAGTGGTTCACTGAGGGGCGAGAGGCGGTTCGGTATGGCTGGGTGGGTGAGGATTGAAGGGAAAACCGGGACATCTTGGGATGGGTCAAGCCAAGACACTCCATATATATGGCATGATATGGCATATTTGCATACCAGTAGACCGTCATTGAAGCCTGATACCACCCCAATGCAGGTGTTGGGAAGCGATGTCTACGGAGTCGGAGGCCATGGACCCCCTGGATCAAGGGTTTGGACAGCTGCAGAGTCGAAGACCAAGCTTTTTGGGCAAGCGACAAGTGGTAAGACACGCCCGGTTTGGTCGATTTGCTTGGAGCTTTAAGGAAACTTTTGTGGATATACATGCAGTGAACCAGTGCTGACGTGGGAGCCGACGGCTTTTTTGCTTTTTTTGGTGGACTAGGCCCAGGCATTTCGCTGAGCCAACAGAAATAATATTGCTGATACTTGCTCTTGACTCGGAGCTGAAGTAGCAAGGTGCACCACTAGATGTCGCGACAGCCACAAGATGTTTCAAGGCTTACGTAGAGAGTGATGGGGCCCACACTCACTGATGGAAGCTGCGTCCAGCTTCTTTGGTGCAAGGCAACATACTTGGGAAAGCTACAGCCGGCAACAGCAAATCCATTGGTGTCCCTCGGTTTACCGACCTTTGAAGGCCCGAGGAATACTTGCTGAAAAATGGCATCAATCCTGGCATCCCATCACCTCAGAAGTTAGGTCGGCGCACCTACTTCCCCAACACCTTAGAATTCAGAGCTATCCACTACACGCGATCCCCGAAGGGTTTTTGCAGGTTCCTCTGATGCCAACAAACATGCATCGCACGACATGCCGTCGGAGTGCATGCAGGTCGCTTCCGAGTAGACGGACCGTTTTCGGGTGGCTACACATCGGTGGGTTGTCATTGATGAGCTGATCTATATAAACCGATCTTTCCACCAGCAGTTGCATGGAGTTGGCTGCTTGATGCATTTCTTTGGTTTTAAGGGGTGCCCATGATCCAAACACTGGATGGGTCTCAAAACCAAGCAATTGAACAAAGGGGGAACACTGGGCATATGTTCCCGTTGTTTTGGCAGGTGTGCTTCTACCATCTTCTACCAAGGTCAACTCCCCGCTGCATCCCATCACTTGTCAGGAGTCGCCACAGTCGGAGGAGCAGGGACACGAGGCATGTGGCAAGTGATGTGGGCCCAAAAGGAACCACTGGGTGCTTTCAGGTAGGTTTATGTGCAACCTTTACTTGGGACCTGGGCCGATTGGTATCCACTGACTATAACTAATATGTTTCAATTTAGTTGAAGCCATGTACCAGATCACTTTGTTCAAGGGTTTTCCTAGCTGATCAGCTCATGCTGGAATCTCAGGAGCCATGGTTCAGTCGATCGTTCAAACAAGTACTTGTTCATGTTTGGGTGTTGAAAGCCAGTGCCCCAGATGAACAACTACAAATGAATAACCCAGTGTCCCGGTGTTTGCGTCATGGAGTCGGAACGCATGCCACATTGCTCAAGCTGCATTTGCCGCACCAGATGGGCGTGCTGGCGGCTACCTGTAATTCCAGGTCTCGCTGATATACCACGCAACTGAAGTGTCCTTCAAGAGCTCTACGCTTCTCTACGTCTTTTCAAGTGTGTCGACGTCCCAGAGGCAGAGTCTCATGACCCAGTTCCCATGTCAGATGGCCACCCGTGGTCTTACGAGACTGCAAGTCTCCTCCAGCTTTCCAACGCCTGGCTCTTGGGGTCGATTTACTCATGCGTGTGCTCGGCCCAGAGGGACGTTTGGGGAGTGCATCAGTAGATTTACGGGGCTTGTGATTGCTGCCAGCATCATGCAGAGGATGTGTGGGGCCTCGCCGTCAAGGAGATCAGCATCGGCGTTTGCCTCGTCATTGCGAACAGAACTCCTTGTTGATGCAGATATTCACAGCATAGAAGACATCATGCAAGCGATTAGTTGCTTGAAAGAGAAGGGTGGACGAGTTCACACACAGTTGTTTCTCCCACCTGAAAGGAGCAAGAACAAGAAATGGAGTCAACTTGTGGATGACCCTGACATCACATTTACACCAGTGCCGCGCTCGAGCAATCCCTCATCGGAGCCGAACGATGAGGCCATTTTGTCCACCATGCTGAAATTATCCACCTGCCCAGATGTCGAGTGCATAGGATTGTTGACATCAGATGTAGGTTATAGGGACAAGATTCTCCAACTCAAAAGTGCCAGGCAGGCCAGACTCAGCTTCGTAGTACTTGTCCCAGAATATAAATACTTGGTGGCACAAAGGTATCGAGAGTTGGGATTAAAGGTAGTTGCATTGAAGCCCAAGGAGCTGCGCCCCCGAGGCTCCCGGGTTCGAGCAATCCTACATGCTAGTGGATCAGGTTCGGTGCAACTTGCAGATCCTTTCTATGAAGGAAACAAATGCAACCTGGAGCTGTTACAGGAACTGCGGAGCTGGTTGGAGCGCTTGGGATATATGCAACAGACAGACGAATTGAACATCACTGCAGCGTGTGCGAAGTTTTGGTTCACGAACCGTTTGGGTTCGTTGACAGTTTACCCGGACTATCTTGGGATATTTGAAGTGTACAAACTCATGAAGAAGTCTTCAAAGATGCACTCCTGGAAGAGATACAGTCGCCAATTGGCGCTATTTTTGCCCAGGTCTTCACTTACAACATCTAAGCATGGGTTAAAGACCTATGGGAGTGCACGGGCTGGATCCATTTTCAAGGGTGGTGGTCCCTTCTTGTTGAAAGAATCAAAGCACTTGACAACGCGGGCACTGAGAAGGCTGGGGTATTTGGATGACAATTTTAATACGGATGAATTTGAGGCCATGTTCTGCTTTGCAAATGCAAGAGACAACAAGTATCACTTGAGGAAGATGGATTTGCTGCCTGACCATGGAGACCGCATAAACGACTTGCGGGCGAAACTGCACACCGCATTCCTTTCCAATAGATACCCAGGTCAATGGCAGATTGCGCAGGATTTGTGTTTGCAAGTGAAGCAGATTTTGTTGAAGGAACAGCTTTTGAACACCTCCGAGCCTGGCTGCTCACGTCATAAGATGATGAATGCAATGAACGCCTATGTGAAGAGGTATGAGCTGATAAGCATGCAGTCATTCAACGCCCTTGCGTTTCAAATTCATCACCACCACCTTAAGGATCCGGACAAAAGATCGGTCATTTGGCCTGGAAGCTAAGACAACCATTCGTGCAGAGGATGTACAGAAAAGAAGTGCTACATGTGGGGCCCTAGCTTAGCCTGGTCGCGAAGGGGCAAACTCCAATCTCATGACGTCTGGCTGAGGATTCAGTCGATGTTTGGATGTCAGGGCGAGACACTTGGCATGTTTGATCCATAGTGCAGAAGGGCAACCATTGATACTCTCAAGTGGAAGTTTGAGTCTTGAAAATTCATTAGATCCGCTTTTTGTGCTAAAAATCGCACAAACTCTGTGCATGGGCATGTCAGCGAAGTGAGCGGTCTTGGTCAGATCCCTTTAGGTCCGATGAAAAGACATCAAGCATGATGAAGCACAAGCACAGAATCGGTCCTATTCAAGAGAACATCTACCAGAAAAAAGAATCAAATTGGGCGGTTAAATACTGTGCTTTTTTGCAGATGTGTCCTTGAACCAACCCTCCATGAAAAGACCTTCTTGAAACCACCAGCTTGCTCGGAGCGCATCTTCAGGCTGAGCCACCCAAAGATGAAGCGCCACCAGCGCTGGTGGCAGAGGCGATGACAGGGGACCCCGCGCGGGTTGGTAGACGCGCCGACACAGCGTGGTGCGATTGCGACCCACATGGTGGAGCTATACGCCCCGGAAGATTAACGTGGCACCTGAAAGCCACTGGGCTGTAGAGGAAAATCGTCTTCCAAAGGCCGATTTTCAGGTTCCATTGCCATGTTAATCTTCCTGGGTGTACTATATATTTAACACTATATATCTTGCTTGAGGCTGGAGTTGTTTGTATGTTGTTGAAGTGTCACCCAGAGAGGCCAGTACAGAAATCATCATCACCTCCATGTTGTGCGAACAAAAAACATACTGGCGCAGCAGATGATGATAGGTCTGAAGGCACCAGCAGGTCTTGAAGCCTTTTTTTTTGAGATTTGTTCCGGGTGTATTGTATCTTAATTATTATATAGGTAACATATTATCATATTATCATCGCCTATTTTGCGAAAGGCCTTTACTAAGAATCCTCATGCTTTCTTACTAGCAATGGGATGATGTTCCCAAGAAGGATTAGTAGATCTATTATATATAATATATGTATATGTTATATTATATGTTTGTGTTCATTATTGTTAAGATTGTGGGGGGCCAGTGGATCCTACAGCGTAGATAGACAAAATATCCTCGTTGGAAAAAACACTACAGAATGGATGGCCTCAGGGCCACTACAATTCTGCATTTAAGTTTATTTTTGGCTCCCTGGGGGTGCACTACAAAATGAAAAGCCAGAGTTTATAGATGACTCATTGTTCAGAGCTTGAGGTTAGACCCTCCATTTTGTAGTGCACTTTGTCGTTTCTCAATCTTTGTTTCAGTCCTTGGATTCTATAGTGAGTGTCCTCGAGCACTTGCATTGTATAATGCTAAAACTCTGGCTCCCGCAAATCATTTCTATAGAATGAGCGGCAAAGCCCAACCTCTCCATGGGTATTTGAAGGGGGATGACAATATACTTATTCCCGTAACTGTCACGAAATCATCACCCAAAGTTCAATGTTGAACACAACTTCTTTCAATCTGTGCTGCCAGGGTTTGATGTGTTTCGTTCATTCGCCCAAACAGTTTGGCAAGCTCGCTAACATTGGCTTTTGGGTTGGTACAGTAGGGGTCCAAGTGGTTAGAAGGGTTGGAATATGGTTTGAATATGTTTAAATACGTTTTCGATCAATCTATATAGTGTTCACTGTTCTGACTGTAGGTTGTCTGCAGATGGTTCTAGACAGTATATGTACACATTTCAATCTATTTCAATATTGGATAACTACTGTAGCATCTCCACTCTGGGGCAAAAAAATGGTTGGCCCAGGCTGTGCAGGGAGTTTGATCAACATCTCGCCGGGATGTTCTTTGCAGTGCTTTCCTACTATTACTAATTATACCTGGAATCTACTGTTGTTGCAGTTACAATCCGGTTGCAGTGCTTTCCCGTACTAAGAACCTACAGAGTGTTCATTTGACACTCTACTTGGATTTGGTCACTTTGCTGAGTGCCTGTCAACGTGAGTGGACGTTTTTTTAACGGCTTTTTTTCGGTCTTTGCATACTCCACACAACTGTGTAATTAACACACACTGCAGCAACCAGTGCAACAAGGTTGACTTGCTCAGGTGAAGTTCAGCGATCCAGAACCTGCCGTGGTGCCGGTGCCGGCAGCGCCTGTGCTGGCAGCGCCGGTGCCGGCAGCGCCTGCAGTGCTTGCGCCCCCTGTGCCGCCCGCGAAACTGGTGCCTGCGTCGCCCGAATCGCCTGCAGCGCCAGAACCAACTGCATGGGTGGGGACTCTTAGGCTTGGGCAGGCAAAATCACTGGGTCAGCTATGTCTTGAACACAGTTGTTGGAGGCATTTATGATTTCATCGCCGGCAGCAACAGAAGCCAGTGCAGAGGTTTGTTTGGTTGGAACTCATACGAAGGCTTTGATGGCAAAAGCTCGGCATTCTCGTATCTCCATCCAGGATTCATGGGGCTTCGAAGTAGCAGGGTGGATCCTTCGAAGTAGCAGAGGAAACAACTTCGCTGCTTTCCAGTTTTCCACCCATGAGCAGCTCAGACGTTTCCACCCTCAATCCAACTGCTCTCATGTCTTTGCTTTCTGGGATCGTCTGGGGAGCTCACCCCGGTTCTGACCTCCCAGGCGAAGCTGCAAGAGACGGCAAGGCACGATGTGGGCAACGAGGTCGTTGGCGACGAGTTCGTTGGGTCACGAGGTGGCTTTCTGAAAGCGCCCAACATGCCAACAGGTGGTTGGGTTCAGATCCTCTTCCTGAAACGGGAACCATGATTTAGAGAACCGCACAACTGAAGCTGCTTGCCTGTGATGAGTGTTTCCTTTGGCTCGCGGTGAACAAGTGGCGAGCCGCGTTCCACTCCCAGATGCAGTCCGAAATGTGGTGAACAGCTGCGTGAAGCATTCGGGATGAGCCTTCCGTCGCCTTCGGTCGCATTCCGTCGCTATTTTTATACGGTTCCCAGACGCTCCATGACTCCATGGGGGGCCAATGTAGGCATATATGGCATACATGGAGTGTATGGGGTTTATTTGAGATGTTTTGTTTGGAGAAAGTGACGCGTCGACCTTTCAATCAGGTCGATGTCGATGTCTTTCTCAGGTAGGGTCAGTTTGTGAGTCTCGAGGAGTCCTTGTTCTTGTTTGCCACCTTACCATTCTTCAATTGTTTTTCGCACCTAGATCAGCATTCTTGCTACTAGTAACAAAGGGAATGGCTACTAGGAGCAAAGACGCTACTAGTAACTCCTGGCCTTACTACTATAGTAGCATTCTTGCTATTAGTAACCATGACCGAGATGACAGGGTCTCACCAGCTATATTTGCCAATACTTTGATTCTTCAGTATGATTTGCAGCGAGGACCACTGACCAACCAAGACGCGAAGAAAACACAAATACCTACATAACACCCCAAGAAGCATGTGATGTCGCAACTATTGCGCAGTCGGACTTGCATGTGACGTCGAATCTATCATAATCGATCTAAGGATTTGCTGAAGAGTCAACGCTCTCCTTTCTTCACTTCGTCACTTCCATGTGAAGAGTCGTTTTGATTCTTCGGATGCATGGGGGCTCACGGGAGCGTTTCCCTTCAGAAGTTCTTTGGAGTTAACTCCCTAGGGCTCCAAGCACCTTCTGCGAAGGTGTTTGGGGTGGGTTTGGAGGGTCCAAACACCTTCTGAGGAGGTATTTGGAGCCCTAGGGACTTGATTTATAATGAATTATATACACTGCCTGAACTCATCCATGGTTACGTGGAAAACCGCCTGTAAGTTTGGGTGCATCCATGATTTTCCATGATGATTTCAGTCAGTGTAAACCTGTATAGTCTCACCAATCGTGTGCAAACTATGGAGGGTGAGGACTTTTGATACCTCATCACGGCAAGTGTCATCAACAAAAAATCACTGCACAGCGTGGGAGATCCCTAAACCGCTTGCTGTTCTAGTAGCCATTTAGTAAGATTCGTTCATGCAGCATCTCCAGGTGTCGACTGGCGAGCACACGCGAAGCTGCGGGGCAGGTGCAGTTGAAGGTGGGTTGATCAAACATGCCGAACTCGTGAACTCGAACTCGTTGGGGGATTTCGGGATGCGGGGTCATACTTGGAAGCGGACTGGGTCAAACAAGAAACAGGACCCACAGTGGACCAACCGAAGGGCTCAAGCCTCCTATTCCACATCGACAGGCATAGCCACCGGCATCCCATAGACTGTAAAGGTCGAAACTGTTCTGGTCAAAAAGCGTTTCGTTTGTGGCTTGACCTTCTTGCTATATATATATATATATAGTCGATGTTTATTTTCGCTATGGGTGAATCCCGTGAATATCTTTTCCCGGCTTCTGAACAGCAAATCCTGTTTTAATAGGGGGACACCCTGGCCCAATGTGTAGACTGGTCCATGCTCCTTCTTCCAGGGTGTCGTTGCGTGGGAGGTCTCCCAATTTTACTGACACACTCACATACAGTGGTTTCAGAGTAGATGGCACTTTTCCCCCAAGATGTCCTCGAAATGAAAAGGGGGGCCGTTTTTTAGCCACCGACATTGGGGTCTGTGCCATCTACTCTCAATCCACTATTTAAAAAAAAACCAACACAGCGCATCCCGTTTCGAAACGACTGTAGCCGATGAGGCACAGGCCTTGGCACAAGACCCTCATGTGCGTTCCAGCGCCTTGGGTGCCACGGCCGGTGCTGCGCTGGGCACCGCAGGCCGGGGTTTGGAAGGGGTCGGGGGTCCGGCCATGCCCAGAAACCATTGGAGTTTTGAATGGGCTTGATATTGTTTGACATAAATATGTGGTTCAAAAATCAGCCACCTTCCAAAGCTGTAAATGAACGAATCATCTACAACCTGTGGGTTCCTGGGTTTTATCAGCCATAGCTGCAATCAGTTGCCAACAATGCAAAGTAAGTACCGTGTAACACAGCATACAGAGGGGGATCAAATGTTGATCGAATATGGGGCGGATCATAAATGTTCCGAGTCCGAAGTTTAATGAATTTCCAAAAAGGATTAGACGAAACCATTTGGATGTGTCTCAAGGACCTTCAGAAGAGATCAGAAGAGTAGCTTAGCGCTGGCAGCGCAAGACATTCCAAAAGGAAAGGGTGCTTTTGCTGACTTCCAATGACATGTTGCACGTAGGTTTTGCTCCCTAAATACCCTCAAACACCCTCCAAAAAGAGCTTCATGAGACTCCCTAAGTATCCTACTAGTAACAAGAAGCTACTAGTAACAAGGGCATCGCTGCGTTCGAAGCTTCAGAAGCTACTAGTAGCCTTCTGCCCTTGTTCCCTGTCCGTCCGGTCCGACGGACTTCAGGTGGAGCGGCCACGGGGCTGACGACTGGGACTTTGCTGGGAGCTGCGGTAGGCGTGGATCTTGGGGCAGGGTGAATGATGTGGAGACTCACACGGTTTCTCATATCGGTGTAGGTTTTAGGCTGTTTGATGGATGTGGCAACAAAAACATGTGTGTTTTGCTTTTGGTATTTTTTTGTTGCGTTTAAATCAGGATTGTTTGATAGTGATTCCCTTTAAGACCCTTGCTTAACCTCTTCTGAGGCCTTGTTTGATTCCTGGAACTCTGACCTGAACACCTTGTTCAGTAACCCTGATTAACATTCTTTAAAATTATTGATCTAAACACCTTTTAAATTGAGGAGCACAGAAGCTCACGGGAAGTGCCTTCTTGGAATTGTTTAGAGCGGAATAATGCACAAACTTAGCCATGTGGTACAAAAGCCTGTTCAGTTGTTTATTGTTCAGCTTTTTGCTTCCCATTAAGATCCTGGCTTGACCCTTTAAACGATGAACATGCCTGCCTGTCTCACTCCTACTACTACTCCTCCTCCTACTACTACTACTGCTACTACTGCTACCACCATCACCTCCACCAAAACCACTACTACCAGGACTACTCCTACTCCTACTGCTACTGCTACCACTGCTTCTACTACTACTACTGCTGCTACTGCTGCTACTGTTCTAGGATACTTTTGGTGGGCCTGTATCTATTCGCTCTCCCTCAGTTGTTTGCTCAGAGGTGGCCGTTTACTAGTTGGGATCCAACATTGTATGGATCATTATGGATCCACATGCCTTTCGAGAAGGTGCCTGGTGTTTCTGGGGGTGGGTAGTTTGGGTGGTTTAGTTGATGGACAAAATATTATATATATATATTACTTGGAACCAGATTTCATGTTAGAGTCATCCTACAAAAGCCCTAGTCCTGGAAGTGTTTTGGAGTGTTTTGGGTCGATGCGAACGTCCACAGTCCCATTTAAGTCATCCATCTCAGACGCAGAGCACATGTTGGCACTTGTCTTGCCCACTTGGAGATAGGGGATGTCATGTTGCCAAGAATGGACCAACAAACACACAGAACCCGACGTAACAGCCGTTGTTACGTCAGATGCTTGATGCTATCTCTTGGCACAACAGGTGTTAGATTGTTCTACACTACATGGAGCAAAACCTTTCCTGTAGATGGTAACAACAAGTGGTTCAATTGACTGGTTTTGTTGCGTGACGAAGCAAGCACTTTCGCTAGTATATAAATATAAGCGACAAAGAACATTGTAACGATGGTAATCAGCATGCGCTAGATACCGCCTGTCGCAAAGGCGTCATTCCTGCGGTGTTCACCTTTGGCCTATCGATTCCCTTCTGCGCTGCTGTTGGCGGAGGGGCAGGCCATGGGACATCCGAAATCGTCAAGTCAGCAAGTGGTAGTGCATTGAGAAGGACACATGTCCACTCTATGACCCTCTCATTGAACGACATGACGTTTAGATCTCACTCTTTCCTGGTCACGTCCTAGACTCTGGAGACTCCGACTCTGGACGACTCTGGACGACTCCGACTCTAGCATGGTCACCTCAGACTCTTCCCACCACTCTCAGACTCGCCCGCCGTGGAGCCCACCGCCGTGGAGCCCGGTGTTCCGCTCGCGCGTTCCGTGCGCCCCACGAGGCCTCGCCGTGGGGGCGGCCAGCGGAGCCACCTGCGGCGCGGTGGCCGGCGGTGCCACAGGTGGCGTTGGGTCGTGCCAGCGGCTGGGGAAGATGAAGATAGGGGTGTCGTTTTTGGTTTCTTTTGATTTTGAAACCCTTCAACGATTCTAAGATATCAGAATGATCCAGAATGTTCTTCGCATGTGGTGTCCAAGCATGGAGATTCATCGGATTCACAGGTCCATAAGGAAAATGTGTAGGGAGTAGGGTAGTGCAGTTCCAGGCCATCGGTTTTTCAGTTTTGAATCCGGAACTGGTTGGATCCGACTGGTGTCCTTTTAAATACATCTCTTTTACACTCCAACTCAATGAAATCAAAGGGGAAAACCAACTGGTTTTGCACTTTGCCATCACCATAACGCTCCACACTCCAAACCTCATTCCCCAAGGTGTGTATATAGAGCAACATTAAACGGTCATACCCAGTGGCCGGGCACTTCCGAGTCGGGACGATCGGGACGGGGAGGCTATGGAGCCTATCGGCACCGCCATGAGATCCGGCAAACGGCCCACAAGACCTTGGAACAGGCGTGGATCCACGCGATCCGGCGATCCGGCTGGTGCGGGTTCGAGGGGGTGAGAGAGGTGGATCATACCCCAAACACTCAATAAAATTCGGAACATATATGCCTACATTGACCCCTGAAAACACCCTAAAGTGGCCAAATCATTATGCCACACAGGGGAGTCTTAGGATGTCCAATCCTTAGCCTTAGCATGCCTTAGCCATCCTTAGCCTGTCAGTGCTTCATCATGTGCTTAAAGGGCTTTTTCATGTTTTCCCTTGCCCAGTGGGAAAAACACTGCAGTTTAATCGGTGCTGGAAGCTTGAAAAGGCCATGATAGGCCATGCAAAAACAACTAGCAGGTGATTGAAGGGGTCAGCCTCCCAATACTGAGGTTTCTCAGAATAGCTAATAGTTTTTACTATCCGACTATCCCATAGGTACCCCAGGTGACGGGACCTGCCGGCAAAAGCGGTGACTCCGTTGACGGCAGCGTCGACACACCGTGACCGCGCACGGACGGCGTGGATCGATCTCGGATGTGTCCCAGGGCCCAGTAAAAGGCCTATAACCATCATCCACTGTGATTGGTAATCAAATATATTATGAATTAATTATGATATATTCAAAATTGTTCAAGATTTATCCATGTTTATCATGGTTTATTTTTGGGTGAGGCATCAGAAGCTTGCCCACTAAATGACTGCGACATGGTACGATGCTCCTGAAGCCTTGCGGCATGACAAAGCTGCAGAGTAAGAGTATCTCCACCTCACACAACATCACGCAACCATTTGGCAGCAAGAGTTGAAAGGTGCTAAGGTATGCTAAGGTGCTATAGTATATTATATACCAGGCCCCCCTAAGGGGTGGTTAAAGGACACCCCTTAAATCCCCTTAACCTCTTTTCGGGGCTATTAGACACCCCTGGCCCGGCCACGGATGGGTCCTTCCAACTTGCATCCCGACTGCTCGTCCCACCAGCCGGAACACCTCCGTCGGGCGAGTGTCGGGTCTTCTGGTGCGGCGTCGGAGATCTTGTCCGTTCTCCATTGGCAACAGGTGATGGTCCGGCGCCACACGCAGTTTTGGGTGATGAAAGAGATGGGAAAGCACCTGAAACCGGCCCCGGCCCCGAAGTCGACTGTTGCGGGGCTTGGCTCCTGGATCAAACTGTTGTTTCCCCCCCAAAAGGGATCCAGGCTGATCCACCACCTTCTCAGTACGACTCGACCCGCCTGGCGCCATAAAGCGGTTTCACCCGGCATCGGTCGGCTGATCCATATAGGGCTTGCCCGGCTCGACCCGCCCGCCCACGGTCGCGCGGACGAGCGAGGTGACCACGAGTGCTGACTTCGTGAAAGCCAGGTGTGGAGCCCGGAGCCGAACGAAGACATCTGAGACGCTTGTAAGATGGACCATCCTTCCAGGGGTGTCCTGGCTGGAGATCCCTAAGTAGGGTAGGGTAGTCCAGCCAGGACACCCCTTGGATGGTCCTGGTACATGATATGTACCTTAACTAATCAGCTGCTATGGATTCATAGGATCGACCCGGGAAGACTCCCCACCAACTACAGCATCCTATGATATCCTATGGATTACAGCATCCTATAACTTTCTGAAAGGGTGGGACGGACACCCTGCAGTTGCCCAGTGAAGACATCCCCAGTCCCAGCGAAGTACTTGGGTTGCTCGGGGTCTAGAGGTTGAACATGGAGAGAGATTGTACTATCAAGTGTCCTCATTTACTTTGGACATCGCTGAGATGGGTGTCATTTTCGATTGACGTGCCACACCACCGTATTGGCAAAGCAAAAGAAGCGGACTCCGGGGTCCCTTGCAGATGTCCATACATTAAAACATGTCAAAGCGGCCAAATGCGGTACAACTCTGTGCAAACTCCAAGGTCCCGTTGAAATCCATTGTCAGTTGTCGATGTCAAGATAACATCTATATATCGTGTACTTTCCTCAACTAAGGGACGTTGCTTCAGAGCTCTTGCCCATCCAACATGTCCGCCCAGCCCGAGTCAGATCGATCGTCCGTCGAACGACGGTCTGTATCAGTTCCGAGTCAGATCACGGATCGGTGGCATTGGGAAATCCAACCAACAGCGCCGTGGATCTCACTGAGTTCATGGTCAGCACGCGTTCTTCCGGAACAAACAGGTATAAACACTCGAGCTTGCTAAAACTGCAGAAAATTGCAGAGTTTTGTCCCGTCCTCCGACCATCTTTTCATCCAAACCACTATTGTCACTAGGCCCTACCAGGCCCCATAAGGCTTTAAGGGGTGGTTAATGGACACCCCTAACCTCTAAGTTGCTATCAATAAACACCCCTTACAAGGCCCTGGTACAAGTCTTCCATTCCCCCCCTTCCCATTCCCTGCCCCTTCCCGTTCCGCTCGACCTTCACCGGTTCCAGGGCCAATGGCGTCACCCACTTCTTGTCGGAACGGGCCTTGGTGGCGAAAGCCCGTTTGATGGGAGGCCCGCGGACCACCTGGCAGCGGACCCGGTCGGGCGCAGAATCGAAGAAGACGCCGATGGACTTGGTGCTTGGGCTGACAGCAGCTTGATGGTGAAAACGTCCAGTGTCTCCAGCAAGTGAGATGGAAACTCAGTGTTTCTACTGCCAAGCTTTCTTTTTGTGTTGTTTTACTAATTTGGATCCCTCACAGTTTTTCCTGGTCTTCCTCTCTTTTTGTTTGGAAAGCCACCAGTATTTGTTTCCTGCATGAGCTTTTCAGACACTGACTCAAGGTTGCACAATGTTGGAATTTGTGTGGTCAAAGCCAGAGTATACTAGCACTTGTCCCAGCTTGTAAAATGTTGCCAATGTCTTCCAGGCGTCCTACAAAAGAATGATAACATGTCTTCAAGACTGGGTTGAGACCTTTCAAATCTTCAAGTACCCCTCCAGTACTCATCCATCCATTTGGTCTTTAGGGGTCGCCATTCTTCGCGCGGCCCACTTGAGAGATCGAAACATGTGTTCGCTGCCTGTGCTTTGAGATTGGACCTATTGCTTGTCGATTCTTTTCGACATGTTTCTTATTTTCTTGACGTCACGGTCTTAACGGGATTCACTATATTCTACACTACATATTATATCCAGGACCCTCCTGTCGGGGTGCCCTGTCTGGAAGCCCAACTAGGTAGTGTGGGGTAGTCCAGCCAGGACACCCAGACAGGAGGGTCCAGGATGTGTTTCTTTTTAAATGTGTGTGGGAGTCGCTGTATGGCTGTCGCTGTATGGCGATGATTCGTGCATTCACTCGCGAGGCGGCACGGGAGGAACCGAGGCCGGGGGATTCGCCGTCGCGAAGCGGAGGAATGGCAAAGTGAAGCCACTCCTGATGATCAGCAGGACCCTCCTAATGGGTGTCCTGGATGGACTACCCTACACTACTATCCGGAATAGCTAGGACAGCCATTGGATGGTCCTGGAATTCAATATAAACATATTTAGAGTGCATCCAATGATCAGCAACAGTCGGCAACAGATTGTCACAATTTTTGGGAAAGGTCTTTACTAACCCTCATAATTCACTGTTACGACTGTTACTGGTAAAGGTAACAATAAGGTCATCCCTGCGGAATCATCCTTGTATATTTATATTGTTGTTTGCCCTATCAGATATCAGGGCGAGTCATCAGATGATGATGATGATGATGTCCGTTGGATATGCCCAAACCATCAACTGAACGGGCAACACAAATTTTTTAAACAAATCCCACATGCGAGAACCAACTTGAGCGGAAGGATCCGCAGGTCCGCTGGACCCGTCGCCTGGACGAACCGAAGGTCGGGGCGCGACATAGGATCAGACGGGCGTTCGACATCGAGGGCGAACATATCCGCGAAGTCATGCAGGGTTTCTGGGATGTTTCTAGATGTTTCTGGGTTTCTTATTGAAGTCATGCAGATGTTCTGGTGCATCTGAAGTCTATTTCTTGTAGGAAGAAGCGCTTCCTGCACCTCTCAAGTGTCTCCAGTCGTGACCTCCTTTGAGAACCCGGATGAATCACTTCATTGAGCACAACATTTGTCCAGCTCCCTTTAGCCACAATTTGTGGAGCCAAACCCTTCGCAGGAGCTTGCGTAGCCGTGACGGTGTGATGAAAGTGCAAGACTGGCGAGTGCGCTGATGCTACTCGAAGAAACTCTGGGTCTGGGTGACCAACAAGGGCATTGCTGTTAGAAGCATTCTTGCTACTAGGACTGGCCATACTACTAGGAGCATTCTTGCTACTATAGATGTCATCAAAGTCAGCATTGTTTTTTCGACGACTTGACCCAGCTATGTCTTCTACAGACCCTTTCGGCGACCTAGGGCAAGCCAAGGTCAGAAACACCCGCAGAGGGTTGATCTACACCCGGTGGATGAAGAGGCAAAGCACTTCGGACCTCGAGCCCCCTCTTTCTTGGTTGATAGCTTGAAGGACATGTGACATGGACATCAACAAATCCTGTTTTGTAAAGAATGTCTCGCTGATCCAGCTTCACTTGCTCCGAAACACCTCACTTTCTTCTTTTTTTTTCATGTTTGAAGTTGACTAAAGAGGAAACGGGGATTGAGAGAGATTGACCAAGGATATCCAAGGACTATACAGGATACCCATTTATTCATAAGGCAACATGTCATCTGGTTGATTCTGGTTGTATAGGATCAACAGATGTTGATATCATTAATTTCCTCACCTATAGCCGATCGGCTCATGGAGGCCGATCGGCTCAGACATGGCGTGACCGGTGCATCAGCTCGCGTCCCCACCAGTGGGACTGTTTCCGCCCAATTCGTTGTCTGAGACGGGTCGACGAGGACACCCGAAAGTGAAGCGACTCGTCTCCAGTGGAGGTGGACGTACGAAGACCATCGGAAATACATGGAATACATGCGGTTTTCCGGGGGTATGTGGGGAAAAGGCCAAAAGGTGGCAACCAACTTCAGATTCTGAAGATCCCCGGTCCGAAGTGAAGTTGGCGAAGAAACGCGGAAGGGTTTTGGTTCGGTGCTCCCGAAGGGCGCCGAACACGATCCTCTTTCATCAGGGACCCCACCCGTGCTCCCCTTCTGTCGCTTGCTCGCTTCGCGTGAGACGGAGGTTGGAGTGGAGGAACATGGAGGATCGGTCACAACTTCTCTTTCGGTGTGAAGCTCGTCACCCATTCCATCTGAAGCTTGCTTCAGATCCGAAAGAACAGATCCTGTCCGATCCCGGTGTGGAACGAAGAAGCCGAACAGTGTCGTGAAAAAAACACATGGACCACCCATGGGATTACATCAGCTTTTCATCAATACGATGATGTCACTGTACATGTACAGTAAGTTTGATGATGTTCTGAAGAGTTCTGAAGCCTTGTTCCTGCTAATCAGCTCTGTCTCCGTGTTGGCGAACTCGAACGCCGAACGCCTCGGGCCGCCGCGGGTCATGCTGGGATCCAGGCGGGGTCAAAGAAGCCGGTGCTGAAGTCGTGGTCGAAGAGGCAGAAAAGAGAAGACAAGTGAAACACCACCCAGCAGAAAGGAGGCAAAACAAAGGGAAGATCGCAGTGGAAGATCGCTTTAGCAGTGAAACAAAGGCCACAGAATGCCTTGATCGCGCCCCTCCAAAAAAATGCGGGCGGACGTGCGAGTGTCAATGCGACGCCACCGGAGCGGCCGTGATGTCACAGGTCAACCCTTGCCACCGGAGCTACGAGATGACCGACGGGTTGCCTCTTTTTGGAACTCGGTCTCCACATGTTGTTTGGTGATGAAGAGTTCAGTAAAGACAACAGGAAACGAGTTTTGGACGGATTGGATGCTCAAGAGTTGTAGCTCTTGAAAAGCAGGTTTTGGCATGCTTGCTTCCGAAGATCCAGTAAGTTTGCAGGTGGGGTGGCATGAACTCATGATCAGATTAGTGTACTATATTGTACTCATTGGCCATCCTTCAAAACACAATCTTCAGTACGAGGTTTCGAATGCATTTCAATTCTTGAGATATCAAGAACATTGGCTTTGCAAAGATTCTACAACATCCCTTGACAGCACCCCAAGCCAACGTTGCGAGAAGACTTTGCTAGGTTTACGTGGCTGCAAGTTGTTTTGTGGTTCTTGCATGTTCTTGCAAGTTTTGTTGGTACCACAGTGAAGTTGACCTTTAAGACATTCATCTTGGAACAACTCCCACGGCACTGCCGAAACAATTGGAAGCCATTTCTGCTTATGTGTTGAGCCAAAGCGCAATGGACATGTGTTGAAAAACAGTAAGCCATCCAGCTGGTCGTTCAATCCATGCATGATGGCACATCGGAACTCCAAACCAGCCGTAAACCGTCCACCAGGACCGGCCGTAGGACGCCAAGAACATATTGACCTGCATGTTCAGAGCCCAACAGAGTTCTACTGAGTTCACACTTAGCGTCCTCTTGCTCCGGACTCGGGCTGCGATGCCCGAAATGCTCCGGTCCTAGCAGCGAACATTGCTCCGTTCGTAGTAAGGCCAGGTTCGCCCCGTTCGTAGCATCCTTGCTTTGTTCAGGCTGTGTGTTTTTATGGATCGCATGGACCACGATCGCATGAGGCGTCATAGAGTACTAATTCGCACCAAGATGCCAAGATTTCACTTGATTTTACGATGCCACAACCCAAACTGATAGAAGTGACGTAAGCATGATACAAATGAGATTGGATCACAGTTGTGCCAAGCAAGATGGGTTAAAAGTTTCGCCTCCAGGCAGATCAGGCATTGATTCATGTCGCTCTTCCAAAACAGGCAAGACGTGGCCCAACGGCCTTTGGGGCCTTCAAAACCATGGCGCGGCGCTGGCTGCCTGATCGGCACTTTTGCAGCGACCTCTTGAGCGCGTGACCTGGAGAGCAGTTCAGTGAGTTCGAACCGAGCGATGTGGGTTTGAACGCATACCAGGAGTGCCACCGTTCGGTGCCTAACTGCCTTGGACATATTTCTGCCACAAATCGGGACTAATGACGTAGAAACCATTAGGAGCATCGTTGATCCATGTTCATGTCTTGTGTTCTTGTTCTCCCCTGGATTGTAGGATCCTTGAGTGAAGGTTGAGGAAAATGGAATTGGTGCATGGCTAACCGGATCCTTCGATGGATGTCCCTGCTAGTCCTGCCGTTTTGTTGTTAGTTTTTTGTTTCAAGAGATGTTCAGGTGTGCGAGCCGGTCTTCAACGACGGCGTACGCCAAGCATGAAGTAGGTGCAAAAGGCTGCGAATCTCAGGAACTTCAAGCCAATAATCAATGGCAGCAGAGCTTTTAATTGCAAATATACTATATATATAGTGTTTGTAATATATAGAAGTGAATTGACATTAGCACGATTCAAACAATCTGAGGGATATGCATGGATATGCCTTATTTTAACCTTCAATAGGATGTTCCATGATTGAGTCATGTTTGCGAGCATTACGCAACTGCATGTGTCATGACCTTCTATGGGAAGATTATGTTCTTATTTCTTTGTACAGGAGGAGTCTTTGCTCGCTTGCGCCAGACCCTTCGGGAAGAATCACATTTGGTTTGGTTGACCTGGCCAGAAGATAACATTTTAGGTGTTAAGTTCAACATGAATCTAATGCAAATGGTCTTGGCAGCATGTTCAATCCTGCTTGAAAAACATTGCCTGTAGAGCCGTCGGTAAACACTGATCACCCTTTTATAGATGTCGGCCGCAACCTAACCATCATCATCCGCTGGACCCAAGAATCAGGGAATGGGATACCCAATGGCTATTCCAGCACCATCCAATGGGTGTCGAATGGACTACAATACACCACTATCCGACTATCCGCGATCTCCATTGGGCACCCATTGGATGGTCCAGGTACAGCCCTAGGCCTTCTCAGAAGATAGTTAGACAGTTGGACCACCCTGGCACCCAGGAGGTAGTTGGAGCCCTAGGGATGATCATGTGATTTCTATCCTCCTCTCAGACGAAAACCGGCCCAAGCACCGGTCCCACATCTAAGAGGACCCCATCTAAAAGACTACAGACATGTATGGGGGATTGTGCCATCTACTCTGCAAACACAATTCTGCATGCATCATGCATCAGCATTGCACAACATGTTGTTGTTCCGTTCTTCGTTCGGACCGTCCGAACCAGCACCATCACCGATCCCGACTCAGCACATCATCTCTCGGTCGCTGGTGGAGGAATCCCACGGTGGTGTCCCCCCCACAAAGACTCGGTGTAACTGTATAGTGCGTGGTGATGGCTTGGGAAGATGGCCGTGGGTCCGGAGCCGTAGATTGATCTCATTTGTATAGTCTTTTAGTGGTCAGCCTGCGTTTTTCCCGGTTTTTTTTCATGGTTTTTCCAAGACTCACGGCCCATCAACGCAGTCGGAGATTCCGGTCATGTTTCACCCAAAAGCATGTGTTTTGGCCTCTCCATCCGCCTCCTCACCCAAACGGAAAACGGGTCTATTTTGGGACATTCTCTTCCCAACAACGGCGTCTTCTCCATCGAGGTCTGCCTTGGGCTTCCTCGGCGACCTCGTGTGTCAGCTGGTCGTGGAAAAGCGCAAGCCACCCCAGGACCGAACGAAGACCTTCGTTCGTTCGGTCGGTTTCACCGTTCATCAGTTGGACAAACGGTTTGGTTGACGTGTCTTTCTTAGAGCGTTTTGCTGTGGCTGATACCGTTGCTATTCCAGAACCATCATTGCCTTCTTGCGGGGACTGAAACAGTGTTTATCAGCGTTTCCTTTTTTCAACTGGTTTCATCCCTAGGTGTCCCACTGCCTGCGTCTTGTTTGTTTGGTCGCAGGTTCATTTGTTTTGCCTTGGGCTGTTGGGGGACATTCGATGCTTTTTGCGTTCCCAGACTTGCCGAACACAAGAACAGTCAGGGACTATAAAGTTCAATGAAAAGATCTCCTGAGTTGCTGGACACCAACATGAACAGGCCATTTACAAGCAGCACTTTTGGCAGGCCTTTCGTTCGAACAAGTTGGGTTGGACATGGTTGGACATTGCGTTCCCAGGAGCTCTCTGACTTGCGATGGTCCGGGAACCCGGTGGTGACCGGAATATGCGGGAGGAGAGGAGATCAATGGTACCAAGCAGATTTTGATTTGACTAACTTAACGTCTATTAAGTTTTGATGTTGGTTTGGTGTTTGTTTAGTAACTAACATCATCCATTGTATTACAAGGACTGTATCTTGATGTATTCTTGCAATACATTGCAATACAGCTTGGACGCTTTTTACCTCAAACAATCAATATTTACCAGGCTACCGCCTGCAGCCGCCGACCCCCAAGGGATAGAACCTTAGCGCTAGCCTTGCTCTATGTTAGCCTTAGCCTTAAGCCTTAGCCTTAGCCTTAAGAGTGCAGACCCAACCCAGCACGACCAAAGCAGGTACCCAAAAAGTCGACTTTTTGGGTACCTCCCAGATTTACCATCGGACGTCAGCTCTTGCATGAACCCCGATCATTGCCCAAGAATTTAGACCCAACCCTTCACCACCAAAGCAGGTACCCAAAAAGTCGACTTTTTGGGTACCTCCCAGGTTTACCAATTTAGACCCAACCCAGCACCACCAAAGCAGGCACCCAAAAAGACAAAGCCTAGAGCACTCCTAGGAAAATGCCAGAAAAGCCTTTGAAAATCTCATAAACCAACAGAAAACGTGACAAAATCTACGAAAAAGCAAGGGCATTGGCCGGGACCATGCCGCGACCAGCCCGGGATTCGAGCCCAGGACCATTTTGGACCGTGCTTATTTTCCCGCGCGGGTCGAGAGGGTGCCCCAAGATGTAAATCAATTGGGATGGGAGATTCTTGGACAATCCAGGTCGCTTTCCCGGAGAAATTCAACGGGATTTCGTCACTGCAGCAAGGGGTCCGGAGGGGTAGGGGAGGTAAGGTCTAGGTCTAGGTCTAAGGCTAAGGACTAGGTCTAAGGCTAAGGCTTAAGGCTAAGGCTAACATCGACAGTCACGCCTCACCCCACGGTGTGGGGTCGGCGGATTTGAGTGTTTTAGTTTCAGAGGATCGAAGCAGCAGAAGGGCCACTCAGCCTTTGGGTACTGAGTTATTAAGCTTATCGTGTTGTTGACCTTCTTTCTATCACAGGGATCCCTCGATTGTCTTGTAGTGTAGGCAAAGTCCTAGTCTCTGGTTCAAGCACTCACAGGGGTTACAACCTTCTTGGCAGATGATGCCGAACTCCACAGCGAACAGAACTTCTTTGATACCATCCGCATCGCGGTCGATCGACACCGTCAGTGAGACATGGATGAACATGGGCGAATGGCTTAGGTGGAACGACTCGGATCGTTCGTCCCGCTGCATATGGCACCACCACGCCTAGGGGTTACCACGAAGTCGAACCCGGGTGTATTATAGGGCATAGGGAGACCTCCCAGTGAAGAAAGGAAGAGACATAGACTGGACTAGTCTACCCATTGGGCCACGGAGCCTCACGGATTGAACATACACACCCGAACTCCACAGAACTCGTCTCGTCTCATCACTTTTCGCCGCTAAACGTTCACGGAGTTCTCCAGGGGGCACCATGAGGGCCACTTCGAGCCGCAACGTTTGTGGGCCTTGACCGTCTTTGGTGGCGCCGCTCGGAAGCATCCAAATTGGGGTGAAGTAGTGCGGTGAAGTATCAGGAGTAGTGCGGAGTCTTTCAGATGTAGATTTGCTGCCCAAGTGGAAGCATCGTTTCCACTCCAACACCCTGCGAAGCCGTCGACGGCTTCGCTGGATCGGGGTTTGACCAGCTCAAAAGCCTCGACAGGAACCTGTCCGAGTTTCTGGGAGGAAGTCAATTCTCTGTATGTGGTGATAGCATTCAACAATACACCATGAGCTGACCTTGATTTTGGATCACCAACTCTTATACCAAAATTTTATGGTTGAACAGGTTCTAGGCATGTAGCGGCAACCTCCCCGGCAACCTCCCAGTCTCATGTGGGTATTGTTAGGCCCTCTTCCAGGTCTGAACTTTCTGGCGGCTCGTTGGAGCTTTTCTTCTCCACATATGGCACTGCCTCCATACACACGCGCAGCACATCCATGCAGCGTAGAGACGCTGCTTTTCTGGAGATGTGTTCATTTACTCCTGCAAATTCTATATCCGAATATGTACTCGTTACCATCGTGCATTGCCCCCCAAAAGCCAAGCCACCCCTTAGGGAAAAGAGCAACATAGTGTCAGTGGTTAGGGTGAACAGGAGGGGGGAGTAGTATCGGGGATTCATTTGCATTGCTTCCAACCAATTCTGCAGAGGGCCACATTGTGGCGTGTGATGCCGTGCTTAGCTGAGGCCTACACTGGAGGTGGCTTGGTTTGGTATCACTCAGAAATATATCACAAATACATATATATATATAATATATATATATTAATCTATAACTATATATGTACTCAGAATATACTTGAATTGAATTTCAACTTGAAATTGTGAAATCTGTTGTTTTTATGGTCCACAGCATAGCTCATCCCCTGCAGACTGCAGGGGGTGGGACGTTCACCGTGGCATCGCCCGGTCTGTGCGTGTGACACACCCGGTCCTTGTTACACCTGAGTCCGACGCAATGAGGGGGTAGCCACTATATAGACCTCTGAATTGAAACATCAAGTAGCAGGAGTCACAGGTGTGGCTCGTCCCATCCAGTGAGTGGATGTGACAAGGGCCCTCGGAACCTCCATGGATCGCACCCCGTCGAAAGTGACTGCTGGTAGCTTCTCAACTTCATGACGTGTCCACTCTTGGCCTTTCACTTCATGTTGGACATATATCTAGCAGATTTTGTCACATGATCATCTCACTGTCCTATGATAGGCCGGTTGATGGCAAATATGAGATGTTCTTCATCATCGAACCTGTGGATCCTAAAGGGAATTGGGTTGTTACATTCGAGTGGCTGTGTTTGTCGTCATCTCCAGGCCTTACTGAGACAGCACCACGGGGCCAACGGGGCGCATTCGCCCCTGCAGATGTTCAGAGACCGCTTAGCTCGGTTGGTTGAGGTCCTCGGGTCCGTTGGGTCATGGCACTTTCCAGGTCCAGATCCTGGTTGACCATCTGGTCATCTATTCCATCTGGTCATCTATTCATGTTCGGTGGGAAAAACCCAGGCTCCCCCTGTGCCATGACCCACTGCCAGATGGCCTGAAGACCAATATTGGTTGGTTGACTTTAAAAGAGGGGAGATACCCCCAAGTTCCGTCGGGCATGATTGGATTTGTTGGGGTCCTTGCGGATTTCTTGGGCTTGTGTCAGCTGGTATCATGTGAACATGCGACGCAGTGCTCAGGTTTTCTCCACTTTCTCTACAAGTTTTACTCCCCAACCGTGCGCGCAATTTCAGCATATCTTCCTTCAGCGCTCAGTTTGCCCCTTGGCCGGATAATGCACCCGGAGCCCATGCGTGGTAGAGCAGACAGCGATGTTCCGCTTTTTGTATTGACTAAACTCCAAATTTTCATACTGACTTACTGACATGCAGAGGAAAGCCTTTCCGGGGTCCATGTTCACTTCCATTTTGTTGGTGAGTAGGGTTTTACATCAATGTTGGACAAAAAAAAAGCGTGTCGAGGATGAGACATGTGCTTGGCAACATGTTACTAGTAGCATGGTATGGCGTCATTGGTTTTCAAGTGCAAGAAGAATATATGTTAGTTTCAGAATCCGCAGGGTCTACACTGGGCCTTCTATTTAGAAGGACAGATGTACCATGATGTACCCCTAATAAGATCGGATGGGTGCTGATTCTTTGTTGCATGTAGCTCTAGACCAATCCTTCAGCTTGACAAACGTGAGATGTAGTCAAGTTGGAAGACCAACAGAGTCATAGAAGATGACGATACTATAACTATATATAACAATGTAATCTAGAGCAATGATATCTTCAATGAGTCCATCCTGTTCACATTCCATCCCAGATCCTAATTCTCATCTGACAAATCGGACAGAAACCATCGAGAGGCTCAGTGTGATTTTTCGCGACCAACTCGAACGATTTTTCGCGCAAAAACACGTCGTTTGCACCCCAACCTTCGGCGTTCTTTCGCCTGTCTCGGGTTCTGCGAGAGGCCGCTGTCTCGCAGCGAAAGCATGGCGCATTGCTTTGCTTGCGCGTGGGCACTTTGGCTGCAATGCAAGATCGACCGGTGTGAAGAACCCACCTGCGCATGGGGGTTTGTAGACAGCCCGCTCACCTTCTTGTTGTTGGGGGTTCTCTCCACGCTCCGCCCCCTGTGGAAGGGTGTTTTCTTGTTTTTCTTTTTCAACCTGAAGGTGCTTGGTTTGTTTGGAAGAATTTGGAAGTTCAAGGTTCAAGGAATCAGTCGTCGACCCACTATAGTGATTTGATTCTATTGAGAACCTTCCAAACAACGCCGGATGGATCCTCGCTTTATTTGTCACCGGCTGGCATCAGAAGTGGTGCGAAAACATCTGGTGTTTTAATCCACCATAGTTGTGTGTTGTCCGTTGCATAGTCCCCTCAGAATTTAGAGGGCCAAGGAGTGATGAGCCGTTTTTTGTTTTCTCCATCATCGACGGGGGTCGCCATTTGAGTGCTGAGTGCTGACAAGGGAACAAATCACTTATTTGGGGTAGTTAGGCCTTGATCTAGCTGGTTTGACGAGTGCTCGACCACTGTCAATGCTGCCAGTTGCGTTCAAAACATATTGCTGGGGGAAGCCTCCTTCACGAACTCCAATCAACATGCCTTGCCATGGAGCATCCAAGTGCTCTTTATTTCTATTTGCTGAACAAGCACTTGGTGAACCCTACAAGACTGCTGTACGAGAATGAAGTACTAAAATCCTTCCAGAGCACTGGAAGGGCAGTCCTGGACCGCAACGTTCATGCAGAACTCGTTCTGCTTTTGCATCAGCAAGGTTTGGACAGGTTTGTTGTTTGTGCCAGGAACTACACCCGCGGAGTAACACGGTCTCTTAGAGGAATGTCTACTAGCTACTAGCTCTATTTGTGCCTTGAGCTTCATATGCTTCATATGTGTAATGGCTCCTGTATGATGACGCACATCCTTGCGATGTGCCCTTCCACTGAAAACGTTTGAAGAGCATCCAAATCAATTCCTTACTATGTTCTGAAGGTTGCCAAAAGCATGGTTGGATATAAGTTATATATATATTGTTTTTGTGCAGTTGAGTTGTGCTTGGATAATTCAATTTCAAAGAATTCCTTTGTAAGTTGGTTAGGACAAACAACATGTTGATACTGTTGACCAACATCGACTGAGATGCGCTTGATGTACGGACAGATCAACCCTTACTATGCTGACTGCGCACCCATTGTCTTCCCGCAGTTGTTTTGTAGTTTTTGATTTTACTTAATTATTGTTTTTCCTAAGTACACAGTTGTCATCCTTGAGGTCATGTTGTGGGGTGCTGCGAACCCTTGGAATGGCTCCTGTATGATGACGCACATCCTTGTGATGTGCCCTTCCACTGAAAACATTTGAAGAGCATCCAATTCAATTCCTTACTATGTCATGAAGGTTGACAAAAGCATTTCTCAGATTCTTTGTTTGCACATGACATGCTTGATTGTGCTTCGATAATTCTGAGGATTCCTTGGCAAGTTGGTTTGGACAAACCAAATGATGATACTCTTGACCAAAACCGACTGAGATGCGCGTGATGTTCAGTCAGATCAATCCTTACTATGCTGACTGCATAAATGTTGATGTTTCTTGACACGTCATGTTTTTGGCATATATAAGCAAGCTTGGTTGAACCGTTATTGAGTGGCTATGTCGTCGCCTAAGTACACAGTTGTCAGTGGTGTGCTGCCAAACCTTGGAATGGCTCCTGTATGATGACGCACATCCTTGCGATGTG